GACTTGGCGTTAACGTCGTCCCGTACTATAATCCTTAGACGTGCGTCGGCGGTGGGACGGGCCGCACCGAGGTCCTAAACGTATCACCCGGTGTGGGCGAGCGAGTGAGCGGCGAGAGAGAAGAGAGAGAAAAGAGAGAAGAGAGAGAAGAGAGAGAAGAGAGAGAAAAGAGAGAAGAGAGCGAAGAGAGAGAAAAGAGAGAAGAGAGAGAAGAGAGAGAAAAGAGAGAAGAGAGAGAGTAACTCCGTGTCAGGAGTTTTATCACCTGGACATCGCGCGTCATCAAGCTGCATGAGGTTACGGTCACAGGAAGTGACAGGAAGTGACAGGAAGTGACCCGTCACAATAAAAGTCCAGTTAACCACATGAACGAGCTCACATTTTAAGGTCCCCTTTGAGCCGACAACTTTTATGTATTATTTCCCCAGAACAATTACAATAAATAGGAACTAAAACGCAGATCTTCACAGCTTGGTACCAACTGGAGGAACTTGCAGTGATCATATTTGATGAGAAGAGATGTAGGCTTTCCAAAAGATCCTCATAGAAATAAATAAATTACCTTATTTAAAAAAAATACTAACTACAAAATGATAGTGTCGGAGATTTTAACATTGATTGGCTTAATAAAGCTTTTCATTATTTAAAGGAGTTTTTCCCAGTCTATTCAACCCTGTGCTCTATAAATCCCAACTGCAACAATAGTATTATTAGGCCCAATTAGTTTTTTTTTTTTTTTTTTTTTTCAGAGCAAGAAATTAAAAACATTTGGGCACAGTGACAGCATGTAAAATAGAAACACAAAGACAAGTTTTGACATAAAAGGCCAGCCCACCACTCCTTTAGTTAGTCAGAGGAGCAGAATTACTTAATGTCTTCTGGCATAGGTAAGAGATAAATAAGATTATTAAAATTCATAATAGTGCGTCTGGTTCACCATCTACATGGCCCACAGACTGTGATAACACGAGTTTGAGGCTGAAGTTCTGTCCAGAAGGGGGGGCCTCAACAGTGACGAGGTGTAATGACCGTTTGCCCAGATGTGGGAGGGGAGTCAGTTACACTGGACATTGTTTGGAACTTTCTTCAGGTTGTTTTTGCTGATTAGACACAGTAAGACCATTTTCTTCACTCTGTTCTATCTTAGGGACTGCTACCACCTGGGCCTCCCAAACAACTTTGACCATTGCCGCTTCCTAACGTTTGCCAGGGTGTGTGAGGTGAACGGCCGGAGGTACATCTGTGTTAGAGACAAGGTGCAGACAATGTTACTCCTGCTTTTTATCAGATTGTAAACAGATTTGTTCCGACTAAACTATAGGCAATACTCTCAACAGGAGGAGGATAATATGACTGAAATGTTCCACACCAGGCTCTGTCTCCACAGAAGAGCCTACCAGCACAAAGTGACCAAGATCATAGAGACTATGTGAGTACTTACCCTTCTCTACTTTTTCTACTTTTTAAGCAGCTTTTCTGAAGAAGTGCAATGCATGTTGTGATGTTTTTAGTCATTTTGTTTTACAAGGAAATGGAAGGATTAATTAAAAATCAAAGGCGACTTGTTCCAGTGAGAATAACATCACTAGTAGTTTGGTAACGTGGGGAAATTTTCATTTTTAAAAGTGAAAATATCACTTTTAAAAATAATTAATGATTAATAATGATTAATGATGATGATTAATAATGATTAATGATGATGATTAATAATGACTATCCAGGATCACAGACGCCTTTTTAAAAGCAGACAGACACATCTGGATTGAAGGCTCAGGAGGGAACATGTTCACACTCTCCACAGCCATTGGTGACATGGAAGCCTACACTAAGCTGACAGGTCTGTAGATAGCACTGGGACAAATCTGGTTCTCTAGCTGTAAAAACACGTGTATGTTTGGTAAATCGTTATAATAATAATCATAAGCAATTGTAAAATATGTCATTACAATTGCAATTGGATTTTTTTTGCAATAGTGCAGCCTTAATTTATTCACATTTTATTTAGCTGATTTTCTTAAAGTTTGGTTAAAATCTGTGCAATATTTTGATGAAAACCAAGCTACTAACAGTTAGGCTACCTAGCTAATTATTGAGAAACTAAAAGGTATATTGCATGGACAGGACAGTTGTAAACATTACCCTAGACTTTGACACAGTAGCAACTACAATCATGTCAATATGCATATAAAAACAATGGTTAATCCATTTCCTCCACATTTCCTCAAGTTTTTAAAAATCATAAACTGGGTATTGCTTCTACTATTGTCTCATGCACAAAGCAGGTGCAGAACTCCAAAACCTGACAGACTTGCTGTGTCCACTTATTTACACTTACACGGTTTCTGTTTGGTGGGCTTCAGCAAATGTTCAATTGAGAGTAGAAGCAACTTGCTGAAGTTTGAAGGCATCTGTTTCTGATTGAAACATATGCATATGTTAAATGACAAATGACAACAGGTCCTGTAAAGGTTTTAATGAATGATAAATGTACACGCCAGATTGAGACAGCTTTTCTCAAGCATGCTTAAATAAAATTAATTTAATTTTTTCCATATTTAAAAACAAATGAATGAGGTAAAGTAATCTTGTCCCAGTTATACTGTCTCTCAGGTAACCATGTCCGTTTTGAATTTGTGAAACACTATGAATGATTTTGTGACCATGTCTTTGGTTTGGTTTAATTCACTGATCTTCCACTCTGTTTATCTGTTTCTCTGTAGATGCTGTGTTTGAACAAATACTCAACTGTGCATTTAACGCACCCCAGGAGCTGAGGGATGCAAGAAACATTCTACGCAGGATCATCAATCGAGACCTCTACAGGTTTCTGGGTGAAACACGGTTTGAGGATCCCACTGAGGTTTGTACAAATGTCTTTGTGTGCCTTTTTTGCATTACACTGTCTGTCATATCATCTATTTCTCTGTTATAATGAAGTTAGATGTTATGCTCCTTTTGTGTGCACATTCCTTGTTTCTGTTTTATTTATTTCTTTATTGCTTATATGGATATCGTGCTTGGATTTCACATGGACTACAACACATCCCTAACAGTTACAATTTCTATAAATTGAATTTAGAGGATGTGATAGCAGTGTAAGCAAAATCATAGAAAGAAACTTACTCACTTACTCCATCTACACTGAGCTGGCAGTTTTTTGTGTGAAAATGACTCACATTCACACTCCCATACAGGTCATATATTTCATAGAACTTCTGCCCACAGGTAAACTGTAAAAAAGGAAAAATCTCTTCTTCATCATCTTCTTTTGTAGGTGGCAAACAACAAAATTGCACATCACAGCCAACACCTGGTGATGTGTTGGACAGACAGCCCAGCTGACAAATACTCCTTGTGATGCTGTTTTAATGCAGCCAATATTGTTGTCATTGAATATTTTCTTGTACTGGAATGAGTATGACATAAATATTACACCTCTGTGGCTCAGGAGGTAGAGCAGGGTTGATGATTTGATCCTCAGCTCCTCCTGTCAATATGTCAAAGTGACCTTGAGAAAGACATTGAATCTGAAAGCCCTTGTTAGCCGCATTAAGATCAAGAAGCTCTATGTAAATGCAGTCCATTTAACAAGTAATGTGCAGGTTATTTCCAAGCTGCAGTGCTCTTACAATCGCAATTTTATGATCATGACATCATGTGACAAAATCTAGTCAAATACAACACCTGTGCCCATTAAGTGATTATAATGACATTTAAAATGAGGGATCAAAGAAAAACAAAAAAAACCTGAAATGTTTTCTTAACTTGACTGACACACACACACACACACACACACACACACACAAACTCCCTGACTGACAAAAACTGCATATCATCATTTTACAAAAGCATGATTTTCCTCATACACACTACAAGATTTAAACACTCTGAGGAAAGTTTTAGAAAAGATCCATAAATTCCGTTTTAGTTTGGACAAAGAGCCAAAACCAAGAAACAAAGATCGCTTAATGTAGATGTAGTCCTACAGTGTGTTGTTAAGATGCAATAAATCTCAAACCTCTTGTCCTACCACTTCTCACCCTTTCTCTTCCCTTCCTAGAATATAATTCCTGCTTGGAAAGGGCAATTGGCTGAAGCTCTCGGTGGCGGGCTGACCGAGGATGACTTTGAGATTATGGTGAGTTTTCAGTCTAAAACTTCACTTTTCTTTAGATGTTTATCTTAATTATCAGTTATTTGTAAGATGTTGTCTTCCTCCAATTTAGCGTAATTTTATTTGAGAATATGAAAACAAGCTTCTTTCCCACATTTCTCTGTTAGACCATTAATATGGACTATGGGATGAATGACGAGGACCCCATCAATCACTTATATTTCTACAGTGAACATGACACTACCCACGCATTCAGGAGAAGGGTCAGAACTAAAACAATCATGATCATTTTAATTTTAGTCTTCCTTTGCATTACATCCCTCTGTTGTCATTATTCTGAAATGTATGCTGCTCTCAGCCTTGGCAGGTGTCCAGGATTCGCCCAACGCACTTTTCTGAGCAGCTGGTCAGGTTTGTCTGTAGGAGATATGCTGACATGGACAACTTTAAACAGTGGTGCAGGGCAAATGGCTTTCCAGAGTATCAGGTAATCTATATAAATAAGCTGTTAAATATATGATATTGTAGATATAATGTGGGAGTTTGTGCAGCCTAGGGCTGTAGCCACTGATTACTTTCATTATTGTTTAATATACCAAATATTTTCTTGATTAATTGACAAATATAGTTTGATTTATAGATGTAACAATTTCCTTAAGCCCAAGGGGATGTCTTATAAAAGCAGTTAGAAACTCCAATATTATTGATTTAATTAAACATTAGACAAAGAAAAACAGCAAAGCTGGATAGGGGAACATTTTTGCTTGAAAAATTACTTTTAACTATAATTATAATTGTTTATCAAAATAGTTGCCCAACTTCAATTATGTATCTCTCACTCTGAACTGCACTGCTCTTGGTAATATTGATGCACTTGTCTGTGCAGGATGACAACAATTAATCTGAGCCTTTGGAAGATGGACATCAAAACTGAAAACAAGCAAACACTCCCTGGTACTCATTGGTTCATGATTGAAAATTATTTTAAATATGATATTAGGTGAGTATGTTAATGAGCACAGAGTAGTTATTGATACCGTCTCACTCTTCTTTATAAATGAGGATGCATTTGTATATTCAGGCCCTGTACTCTGGTCTTTTAGAGGCCTAATCAATATTATACATGTATCTTTGGTTCAGTTTGATCATTTTTAAATTAGTTTCATTTTAGACTCCTTTCATAATCTAAAGCTGTACGTGTCTGATTTTAAACTGAATCACTTCTTAATAGCATGTTGTTACTAAAAACATACCAGAAACATACTATTACTCTGTTGTGAACAATCAATCATGGTTACTTAAAATATCTTTGTGTGAAACTGAAAATGTACACAGTATGTTTCACTGATTTATTCATTTATGCGTCTTCATGTATTCTGTGTATTCCTTATGATTGGGGCAAGCTGCAAAGCACTTGCCAACATATATAATGGAGTTTGTCATTTAAAGTTTAATTTGTGGTTAAGGGATTTCAAATATTTTGGTTTTGATGTTAATCACGTGACTTAATGTGGAAATTTGATTAGATATTATTATGACTGAGTGATGTTTGATTTGAGGTAGTTTCTTGTGGTGGTTGTGAATCCAACGATTGGCTGTATCTTTCTTGAACCACAGAATTTATCTTTACTTCTTCAATGTTGATTTTTTTCATTTGTTTTTAAATATCTCTTTTATTGGTGACATATTTTATCATATTTTTGTCTTGAATTATTCTACCTTTTGAAACTGGCTCTTTTTTTGATGTAACCATCTGTATGCATGTGGTAAATGGAAAATTATAAATATATAAACATATTCTAAATATGTAATGGGGCTATAAAGGGAAACCTACCAGAGACAATTAGAAGTTTTAAACTTTATTCCTAAAGTTGATAACAGATTGTGCGTACTTGAAATAAAAGTCATTTTTTCCTCTTTGTTGTGTGCCCTCGTGCAGTTTAATTTGTCACATCATACACTCTCGTGTGTTTTGCTGCAGCTATCCCCAACCCCATGTAATGTGTCTAATGTACACATTGTTTGTACAGTAACAGGTGATATGGAACCCCCAAAGTCAAAGACAATTATTTTTCTGGTCTTGTGTGCACAAGATAATATATTGAGGCACAAGTGATGGTAATGCATGAAATAAGTAGTTTTTATTGATTTAATTCATATCCAACTGTACATTTATTGCTTTAATTTTCCTAACATGAACAGCAAAAAGCCCAGTGTTGAATTAACTCCCACAGAGTTGACAGTTATTCAGGGTTAATATCGCTCCGCACTCTCCAGAGTCAAATTAATCACTTTCAAAACAGTTAAACATTTAACACTTTGCCAGAGTTCATTCTTAATTCGCAAAAGAGGATTAAATTAACACTGAGTGATACAACATAACACGGCTCTGAGTTACATTTTTTACCATTTGAATGGAGTTAATTTTACTCCCTTTAAGTGTAAAATCTACACTGAAAAAATTTAAATATTAATTATAACAATGATCTAAATAATTTTCAAAAATAAAATCAGTTTTTGCCCTTTCATGTGTAAAACAATGCACAATCATATCGTCATATAAATCATACGAATTAAAAGGCATAATGTGCTTTGAAATGTTCATCAAATGGATTGAGGGAGTGGTTTGCCTGGCCATGGTGATGAAGAAGCTGTCGATCCAGTTCTTCTGACGCCTACAGTGAGGAGGTGTGGTTGTTGATCCTGCTGGTTGCGGGGAGATGATCCTCCAAACTGTAGCATGACTACGGTTGAGATAAGGAAACAAAGAGAGAGATCATTATTGAAGTGATTACTTAAACATCTCCCTGCCTAGTGTGAAAAAGGAAAGCATATGAAGACAATTTCATACACTTTTTAAAACCCCTAATTTACACACGTGGCTAAGAAAGTGATGTGAATTTTTTTTATTTTAATTTTTTTTGGTTGGGGGGGGGGGTAAAAAAAAATTTATTAAAAAAAAAGGGGAGGTTTTTTTTTTTTTTTAAAATTTTTTTTTTTTTTTTTTTTTTTTTTAATATTTTTTTTTTTTGTGGGGGGGTGGGTTTTAATTATTTATTTTTTTTTTTAAAAAATGTTGGGCCCCCCTTTTATGTGTAAGAAACATTTCAATGTTGCAGCTTGTTGAGGGGAAACTAATTTTAACTATCTTTTAGTCCGTTGGGTGGTTCAATCTATAACAACGTGCCACATTTTATAAGCAAATGATATGTTATGTAAGTAAAATCTATATAAAGTACAGTGGCTGAGAAGTTGATCTGGACTGGCAGCATCTCTCCATTTCCTCCTAAACAAATTAGGCAATGCAAATTTGAGGTATATACATTTGTTTTGGAGACAGAGTTGCCAGTCAAGATTAGAAGTCTTGTGTAATGGTCTGCCCTGATCACCTGTTTTAACAACGTGATATAACATTAGTGTGACTATCCTAATATACATATCACTTGTCAGATCAGCTTACTGGATACAGATACAACCTTTGACAGATCCAAGACTCTAAAGAAGACGGAATATCAAGCAGCTCGAAGGGGCCTACTTTGTTTACCCTGGAGCATCCCACAACCGCTTTGAACACTCGATTGGGTATGTTTGCAGAATTTTTTCGATAGACACAGGTAAATGTTTTTTTTAAAAATGGTATACATATAATAGTTCAGTATATATTTCATATATATACATTTCTATTTTTGCAACAGGATACTCATGTAGTAATTGTGTCATGAGTTATTTGTTGTGTGTGCTTTATGTGGTGGTAAAGGGTGGCGCATTTAGCAGGACAGCTTGGACAAGCTCTGAAAACAAAGCAGCCAGGTCTCAACATCACTGACAGAGACATCCTCTGCATACAGATTGCTGGTCTTTGTCATGATCTGGGTGAGTAAGGCACACCTTTTCACTTTTACATTTATATTTTAAGTGGTTATAAGTGAAAAGGAAATTGTCAAATAAAAGTCAATTTCAAGGGTTTCTGTAGGCACTAACAATTAAAGGCTAGTCTGAACTAACAGCAGACAATAAAAACAACGTGTGCAATGGTCCACATGATAATGTACATTTCTGTTCTTCAGAAAACATTTCTTATTTCAGTGATGAGCTACTGCTAATTCAAACTCAGACATTTAATCTAAAAAATCTAAAGTAATTGCTAACAGATAAGTCCTAGTTCAAAATAATTGCAGGAAGTGTTTTTGAGTGAATTTCTTTGAGGGATATTTAACATCAAATCGTATTGAATGGTAAAGTGAAAAGTTTAAAAGGCATTCTTGAAAAGAACTAGTTCATATTACATGTTGTCTGACCATTTCAGAAGGAAAAAGTGTTTATAGTTGTTCCAAAGGACCATACTTGAAAAAAACTTTAGAAAAATAAAAAAAGGTCGAGGTACACTATTTAAATGTCAGCGGGTAATGTACATGGTATTCCCAAGCTGCAGTGTTGATAAAATCATTATTTTATGATTGTGTCATAATTTGACAAAATCAGCTCGAATGCTGGTCAACAACAACACCTGTACTATGTAAGTGGTTATATTGACATTTAAAATAAGGGATCACAGAGAAACCTAAAGCTAACTTATACTTTTTCTTAATTTTAACCCCCAACAAAAACTGCACAGGATTTATGCAAAAGCTTAATTTCTCCCATACACACTAAAGAATTTATACACTCCAAACTAAGTTTTGAAAAAAGTTTTAAAAGTGACTGACTGGACAGTCTTAAGTCAGATTGATACTTCTGTGTAAAATTGATATTATAGGTATGGCAGCCTATGCAGGTGACTTCTAATTGGAAAAAGGAACTGACTCAAAAGCTCCCTGACGGGCTGATAGAAGAGGACTTATTTTATAACAATTTCAGCTTTCTTAAAATCTGGATCATTATTATCTTTTGATTTGTATGATGTTGCCTACCTCCGTTGTGGCATCATTCACTGAAACAGGCGTATCTCTCACCTTTCTCTTTTAGCCCATTGAAATGAACTATGGGATGGAAGACAAGAACCCCCTTGATGAAATGTATTTCTACAGCAAGTCTGACATAAACACTGCAAAAAAGATCCCCAAAGACCAAGTCAGAAGTAATAACATCAAAACCTTTAACCTTAGTTTTTCTTTACATGAGCTGTTTGTTCCGTGTGTGTTCTATATAAAGGCAACTTCTGTTGTTATTATTCTCACAATTGCGGTCATTCTTGTCAGGTGTCCAAATTTCTCCCAGATGAATTTTCTGAGAAACTGATCAGGTTTTTCTGTAAGAAGACTGATGACAAGAGTCTGAAGGCTGCCAAGGAGCACTTTGACAATTGATATAAAGAAAAGGACTTTTCAGTGCCTCAGGTAATATTTAGACTTCAACTTTATTAACTTTTTTGCATTTATGTCACACCAAATCGTAACAGAAGTAATCTGAGGACACTTTTCTAATAGCACCGGTCTAGACTGTACTCCTTATAAAATTATACCCAACAGTTCCCACCATGAGCACGCACTTGGTGACAGTGGCAAGCGAAAACTTCCTTTTAAACAGTCCAGTATCTATTGGCAGAAATTGAATATAGTATGCATAGGTGTGGCATACATTTATAACCACCTGAATATAGGAATTGTTCCATTTCATTTACCTTAGAATGAGACGTTTTTATCTACAAACGCCACGGATCGCCCTTTGTATTTGGCATGTTGAACCATCATGTCTCTACAGTTGCCCAGAACGGACAAATCAAACATTGAATGTAGAAGGGGCCTTTCACATTTTTCATGAGTTTCATGGCCACCGTAGTTTCTCCTACACACTTCACAGCCCGTTGTCATTCCCACATCATCAAATACAGTCGCAAGCGGCGTTAGTTGCATCCCCACTGTAAGCCAGTAAATCCTTCACACTTGTCCTTTAAAAAGCAAGGCAGAGTCCAGCCAATGGACTGTCTGCCTCGACTGCTTGAGGTTTGAGTGTGGGTGGGGGGGTATAGAGAGGAGTAAACTCAATCCCCAATCTAGGCACGAAACGATCTGTAGGAACCTGGAGATAAGAAGATCTAGGCTGTAAAATATAGGATACCGTAGGTACTATGTGGGGACTTCAGACTGGAGATTCCATTAAAGTTAGTTTAGTTATGAGTATTAGGATGGGAACATAAGCAGAGATGGAGAAATTACATATATTACATCTTGTCAGAGCTCCAGGATCCAACTGCAGTTTTATTGCTCTCTGATCTTGGATCTTGAGTCTAGTGTTGCAGCTAATGATTATTTTCCTTATTGATGAATCTACAAATTATTTGATTATTCTACTAATATAGTTTGGTCAATAATTTGCAATCACATAAGACAAAAAACAAACAAATTCATCACAACTGTGTTTAAGTAACAATTGGCATTTTAGTGGGAAAATAAGAGTATTTATAGTTTTATTAATTTATTATTAGTCAGTCGACTAATGATTTCAGCTCCAGTGCAGTCTAGTGCAACTTCAGCAATGAATCTCTCACTATAAACTGCTCTTCTTAATACTGATGCACTTATCTGCGCTGTCTTTATTTACATGCAGGATGGAGACACCGGAGCTCAGCCGTGAGGAAAATTTCCCCAAAAATGAATCTGAAGTTTTGGAAGATCAAAACTGATAAATAGAAAGCAAAAATTCCCTGACAAATGCATGCTTCTTTGTGTAGTCTCTGTGTTTTCTTTATAATTGGAATCTGCCAACATATGTAATGGAGTTTTTCATTTTAATTTGTGGTTCAGGAACATCAAATATTTAGTGGTGTTTGGTTTTAATGTTAATCACGTGAATTAATGTGGAAATCAGATTAGATACATTTTGATTCTGAGTGATGTTTGAGTTTTTTTCTGGTGGTGGTTGTGGATCCAGCTTGGTTATTTTACTGAATATTTCAGCTCCCCACAAATTGTTTGTACAATAGCAGGTGATATGGAACCCCCAAAGCATAAAAGATGATTTCTCTTGCGTGCACAAGATAATATATTGTATATTATCTTGTGCACGCAAGAGAATCATCTTTTGTGCTATAAGTTACGGTCATACATGAAATAAGTAATAACTGAAGAACAGATAAAGAAAATGTATAATATAACCTAAAAATAGGTAAGGTATGTCACGTATGTCAAACTGTACATTTACTGCCTTAATTCTCAACATGCCTCATGACCGGGTCTGAATTGAAGTGTTTGACTCCAAAATACTGTGTCTACTAAATATTTCAACAATGGATTGTGTTGCCTAAAGAAAACAAATGATGTGACTCAGCATTAATTGCTACAAATTGTTAAAATGTGAATGGGAGCAAAGAAAGGCTTTAAAGCTGCAGTAGGCAGCCCTGCTGTTCATATCACTCCACTCCACTGTTCAAATTGCCCAAATTCAGCTGGATCTGAAAATTCAAATCAAGTCACAAAATCCAATTGCGTGGGGAATTCAAACAAAAACATTTTCAGGATGAAAAATGCACAATTGGCAGCAATTTTCAAAATCTGTCATTTATTAATTTTCTTATTATTATTGTCTTGTGGCTTCCATACTCTTCTACAATTGTAAAACAAATATCTTTGGGTTGGTGTTGGTCACATGAAGCAAGACATTTAAAGAAGTTGCCTTAGGGTTAAGGAATATGGAGGACTAAAAGTGCCACAATTAAATAAATAAATACACCATTAAATAATTACTTAAATGTGTCATTAATTAATTAAAATTGGAATTAAATACATAAATGTGTTAAATGTGTCTAATTCATTCAAATACCGATTCATTTTATGTAAAACAACATATATAATTATTTCAGTATTTATTTAAGTATTTCATGGTCCTGCCTTGTAGTGCTTCATGAATTACTTTAATCTGTCAAAGTCACCCATCAAAAGTTGGTAGGCGGAACCTAACGCCTGATTGGTTACCCTGCGCATCAAGCCAAGGTAAATCAATTCCAGATAATGGATTGATGCAGAGCTAGTGAACACATTTCAATACACTGGGTGGCGCTATTGGACTACTTCTTCTAAATCTGCAGTCACTATATGGTCAATATCTTGGTCAGAAAGTGCTGAAATAATCCCAAGAATTTCAATAAGTTTCTCTGCTTTACTCGCTACATGCTCTGGGTCAGCAGGTCCTGTGTAGCGTTAGACATTTCTGCAGCAGTCACCAAAGTGGTTAGCTAGCACCTGCTAGTGGCTAATATTCATGGGAGAAAAAGGACAGACCGCCATCGTCTGTTTAGTCTGAGAACTCACACCGTTTATTCTGCGCATGCTCAATATAGCATCCTTGTGCGCGCAGGCACATGACATCACTGCTTACGCTATTTAACATGGCTTTGCTACCCATATTATAAAATATGCTTAACATCCTGCTTCCACACCCTCTGCTAAGTCTAAAATGTCTAAGTCTAAAAAATAAAATAAAGTGTTTAGAAAAATAAAGTGTAGCAGCAGCTTGAGTTTCCTGTTTTCTTTGTTAACTGTTTCATATCTTGATTAACAGTCTCAACAAATTTTATAATAAATGAATATCAACACATCTTTACAATTGAACAGTTTCTCTTTCTTTCCCTTTTATATCTTTCTATACACATTCTGTTGTACAGTGAGAGAATGGGTCAGGATACTGGTTGATTGATCATATTGGGATCTGAGACTGCGTATTTTCTGTGACCTTAGTTCAGACTTGAGTGGGTATGTTTGATGAACACTTTGTGTTTTATCTCACATTGACACTTTTAATCAGCGCCAACATCTGAGACACACTGGTTTTGTGCTCCCAGTGGGAAGAATGAATATGAATGAATCTGTCCATTAAAAGCTCTATTTTTTATCCACTTTTCTCTTCTTAGAGATCGCTACCTTCTCTTTCCGTCTGTCCCTTGCCTCTCATCGGTCCGTGTATCTTCATTCGATTTTCCTTTCAGAAACGGATATTAAAAACAGAACACGAGTGGTTATTTGATTTTCATTTTAAATTACAAAAATTTAAATTGAAGTACAAGGCATTTTTCTTTTCCATGGTCAAAAAGGGATGAGCGAAATTAATCAAAATATTCAATTTTCATTTTCTATTTCAAAAAAACAAAAAATAAAATCACTAGAAAACAGAAGCGGAAAAAAGGCCTGTTTTTTCATATTCTGAGACCGGATGTTGTCATTAACAGGACGGTGCTGTGTAGAAGAAACAGTAGGCTAGTAGACTGCGGTCAAGCCAGCTGTGACTCCGATCTCCGTGGTCAAATCAGCCGCACTTAAATTTAGAGTGTACAAGTATTCTCAGCATTATGGTAAATGCAGAGAAACAGCGTATTTACTTTCGGTTTTCAAAATAAAGGTATTAAGAACAGTAAGCTATAATTCGAACCTACATTTAAAATAAAATATGTTATATTAAAGTGTTTGATGCGCCCCTGATGAATAAAAAACACTTTATATCAAGTATCTTTACTGCACCAGTGTGGAGAAATGCCCAAATAAAAGTCTCATATTTGCTCAGTGTTTCCTGGCTACTGATGGTATATTTGACTTTTACACATATAAGACTAAAAGTATACTTAATATCAAGCATTTTTACTTGAAGATACACAGACCCTAATCGCTCTCATCTCTGTACTCAGTCGTGCTGTCGTTTGCGCAGATTTGATTGGCTGAGCAGCATCACGTGGGATGGCTTAACTCACATGCGATTGGTCTGTAAGCTCCGGATCAGCTAAACAAATACCGTAAAGACTAGAAAAGCTGTGCTGGTTAAAATAGAAGCGCCCCGTCAAAATTTAGAATCCCTCAATAATTAATTGATTTTAGGTCTGGGTCCGCATGGGACAGCGTCTGGGTCCGGACTCGGACCACGGTCCGCATGTTAGCGACCTCTTCCCTAGAAAGTTCATGAAGATCGTCCAGGCACTCTACTTCAGACCAAAGCAATGGATCAGGCTAGATTTGTGTTAGCCCCACCCACTGAGTTTGATGGGTGACTTTGACAGATGTAAGTAAATCATCAAGCACTGCAACGCAGGACCATTAAATAAATGGTGAAATAATTATATATGTATTTTACATAAGATGAATCGGTATTTGAATGAATTAATGACACATTTAATAACACATTTATGTATTTAATTCCAATTTGAATGAATTAATGACACATTTAAGTAATTATTTAACGGTGTATTTATTTATTTAATTGTGGCACTTTTAGTCCTCATAATGGAAACTTCGATGGACATTTTCCACAATTTTCTAATATTTTCTTGACCAAACAACTAATCAATCAATCGAGAAAATAATCACAGATTAATTGATAGACATTAATTGTTAGTTGCAGCCATATAGCTCATCACATTCCCATCAGTCTCCACAGAGTGTCTCCTTACAGCAAAAAGGTCCCAGATTACATCCATCCTGGCCTCTAATGGGGAACCCTGTCAAGCTTCAGCATCTAATCATTAATAGATCTATATTCCAACCATCACTCCTGGTCATGAGCTTTGAGGAAGTGACTGAGAAAATGAAGAGGAGAACCGCTGCTCCCTCGTGACATATTGCTCCCTCTAAAGGAACATTTTTGGAGCCCTAGTTCATCTGTCCAGGAGGCTTTTTTGTTTTTGTTTTTTTTTTTTTACTGCATTTCGTTGTCTTAGTACTTGTACTAGTATAAAGTTGAATCTAATCTAATCTAATGAACAGGATTGTTCAATGTGGCTAACATCAGGGGTGAGATCCAAAATGATTTTTTTCACTCCTTCCACCACAGTAACATGATCCCAGATAACTAGCTAAACATGGCAATAAGCTTTGCGTATGCAGTGCGTGTGTGTGGCAGAACGTCTTGCTTTTTATTCCCATGTTAACAAATCAGAGCAGGCACACTGCCTGCATGAGCCATGCATCTCTGCAGCAACACTTCACTAGAGAGTTGATGTCTTGCATATCTTTTCTATTGCCATGTGTAGTTACTAACAAAAACAGACACTGAGAAGGGTCATATCAAAGGGACTGGGTCTGGCAACAGACTGCTGCTCTTGCTGTATTCTTATTAGGAGGGACTGAAAACAGCACAAACAACAACGCTACCAAACTCCCTCGGAAGGTAAAACCGTCTCAAGAGAAGTTTGATAACGCTGTTGTTTGTGCTGTATAGGGTGGAGATGATAGTAACATAAAATCAGTGGTGTATGTCACTGATGATAATCTGGATCAGACTGGCAGAGCGTAAGTGTCTTTTTTTTGCAATTTGTTCTTCAATTTTAATAATATTTTTTTACGTAATTTAGTGACTATTTTAAAAAATCCTACACAATATCAGGAAGCTCTGGCTGATCACAAGGCACGGGAATATAACATGTTCATAATAATAAAATAACACTAAATATTCAGGGCTAGAGATAACTTGTAGAATACACAGGAAGGGAGTATGTAAGATGCCCGCGTCAGTGAATATACCTTGCCAACTGCATAATTGGGACTGTTCCTCTTAACTCTCGCTCGTGAAGTCCATTGTCAGTCAGTACAGAAAAAGTGATGTGGAGGCTAGAAAAAAATGAGAAAGAGGAAGATTACCATAGGAAATCAAGAACAACAATTTCAGTGATCAATCAGGGGAACTGGAAGTGTTTTTCCACTGGTAGTCTTTTGGTTTAGAAATAAACAAGGTGTGTGCAGTTTCTGTTGTGTTTTGTTCTACCAGGTGTTTAATGATCCCATTGGTATGTTTTTTAGCCACTCCTGTGTAGCTTTGTCTTTATGCCAGGACTTTGTGCTATTTTTTGACCCATGTGACTGGTTGGCCCCACATGCTGTCGCAGGTAAAAAGAATGAAGGAGAAGTTGATCTGGACTGACAGCAGCTCCCCATTTCCTCCTGAACAAATGCAATGCAAATTTGAAGTTTATAAATGTAATGTTTGGGAGATAGAGTTGCTAGTCAAGATTAGATACACCAAAGATATTGGGAAGATACTATTAAAGATATTATTCATTATCTTTATTCGAGTTTCTGAATGGCTTTTTCTGAAATTTTATTTCTTATATTGTTATATTTTGTTTTGTGAATTGAGACAAAAACATCTTCAGTAATTTTCAAAATCTGTCATTTATAAAATGTTCTTTAGCGTTATTATTGTTTTGTGGCTTCTATACTCTTCTATAATTGTAAAACAAATATCTTTGGGTTTGTGTTTGTCACACAAAACAAGACATTAAAAGAAATGGCCTTACGGTTCAGGAAACATTGATGGACATTTTCCACAATTTTATTGACCAAACAACTAATCAATTAATCGAGAAAATAATCACAGATTAATTGATAGACATTAATTGTTAGTTGCAGCCATATATCTCATCACATTCCCATCAGTCTCCACAGAGTGTCTCCTTACAGCAAAAAGGTCCCAGATTCCATCCAATCCTTTCTGTAAGAAGTCTGCATGCTCTCCCCATATTTGTATGTATTTCTACCACACTCCAAAGAAATGCATGTCAGGTAGTGACAGTGTGAATATGACTGACTGGCCTCTAATGGGGACCCCTGTCAAGCTTCAGCATCTAATCATTAATAGATCTATGTTCCAACCATCACTCCTGGTCATGAGCTTTGGGGTAGCAACTGAGAAAATAAAGAGCAGAACCGCTGCTCCCTCGTAACATATTGCTCCCTCTAAAGGAACATTTTTGGAGCCCTAGTTCATCTGTCCAGGAGGCTTTTTTTTTTTTTTTTTTTTCTTTACTGCATTTCGTTGTCTTAGTACTTGTACTACTGTAAAGTTGAATCTAATCTAATCTAATCTAATGAACAGGATTGTTCAATGTGGCTAACATCAGGGGTGAGATCCAAAATGATTTTTTTCACTCCTTCCACCACAGTAACATGATCCCAGATAACTAGCTAAACATGGCCATAAGCTCTGTGTATGCAGTGCGTGTGTGTGGCAGAACGTCTTGCTTTTTATTCCCATGTTAACAAATCAGAGCAGGCACACTGCCCGCATGAGCCATGCATCTCTGCAGCAACACTTCACTAGAGAGTTGATGTCTTGCATATCTTTTCTATGTGCCATGTGTAGTTACTAACAAAAACAGACACTGAGAAGGGTCATATCAAAGGGACTGGGTCTGGCAACAGACTGCTGCTCTTGCTGTATTCTTATTAGGAGGGACTGAAAACAGCACAAACAACAACGCTACCAAACTCCCTCGGAAGGTAAAACCGTCTCAAGAGAAGTTTGATAACGCTGTTGTTTGTGCTGTATAGGGTGGAGATGATAGCAACATAAAATCAGTGGTGTATGTCACTGATGATAATCTGGATCAGACTGGCAGAGCGTAAGTGTCTTTTTTTTTCAATTTGTTCTTCAATTTTAATAATATTTTTTTACGTAATTTAGTGACTATTTAAAAAAATCCTACACAATATCAGGAAGCTCTGGCTGATCACAAGGCACGGGAATATAACATGTTCATAATAATAAAATAACACTAAATATTCAGGGCTAGAGATAACTTGTAGAATACACAGGAAGGGAGTATGTAAGATGCTCGCGTCAGTGAATATACCTTGCCAACTGCATAATTGGGACTGTTCCTCTTAACTCTCGCTCGTGAAGTCCATTGTCAGTCAGTACAGAAAAAGTGATGTGGAGGCTAGAAAAAAATGAGAAAGAGGAAGATTACCATAGGAAATCAAGAACAACAATTTCAGTGATCAATCAGGGGAACTGGAAGTGTTTTTCCACTGGTAGTCTTTTGGTTTAGAAATAAACAAGGTGTGTGCAGTTTCTGTTGTGTTTTGTTCTACCAGGTGTTTAATGATCCCATTGGTATGTTTTTTAGCCACTCCTGTGTAGCTTTGTCTTTATGCCAGGACTTTGTGCTATTTTTTGACCCATTTGACAGGAAGGGAGTATGTAAGATGCCCGCATCAGTGAATGAACCTTGCCAACTGCATAATTGGGACTGTTCCTCTGAACTCTCGCTCACGAAGTCCATTGTCAGTCTACAGAAAAAGAGATGTGGAGGCTAGAAAAAAATGAGAAAGAGGAAGATTACCATAGGAAATCAAGAACAACAATTTCAGTGATCAATCAGGGGAACTGGAAGTGTTTTTCCACTGGTAGTCTTTTGGTTTAGAAATAAACAAGGTGTGTGCAGTTTCTGTTGTGTTTTGTTCTACCAGGTGTTTAATGATCCCATTGGTATGTTTTTTAGCCACTCCTGTGTAGCTTTGTCTTTATGCCAGGACCTTCTTTACTTGTTATATAAAACATTTCCTCATAAACAAATGAGGGAATGCAAATTTCTGCAGTAGTTAGGTGGGTGTGGAAGAGACACAAAAGCCAGATATTGTTGAACTCTCTTGGTCTTTTCTGCAGATCTGCCCTGATCAGCTGTTTTAGCAACATGATATAACATTGCTCAGTTGACTGTCCCAATATAATTACTGCTTGTTAGATCAGCATCAGAATTATTGGTGAGACATAGGTACAGCCACTGACAGATTCAAAACGCTAAAGAAGACTGACAGTCACCATTTAGCGTTAAGAATTGGACTCTGGAAGAAACCATTGCATTCAAGAAGAAAAAATGGCAGATAAAGGTTAGTATAAGGTTGTTTTTCTGGTTTGGTAAATTTGATGTATGGTTATTATTAATCTCCTGGCTGACCTAAATAAGTTAACTATTTGAAGACTTTCCTTATGATTCTGTATTGTAAGGCGTGGAAGCTAATATCAAGGCTACTTGTCATAATAAAAACTTCATTAACTGCTTTGACTTTTACCCAGAAGAAAACACCACTGTGGAGAATAACGGCAATATGTAAGTGTCTCAGGTTGCAATGTCAAAACATTTTAACAATCCTGGATAGAAGTGTATACAAAGCAAATTCTTCTGATGTTCTACAATAACCTGATTTATTTAAGTCTTCACAAATCACTTTTCTCTCTTCTACTCATTCCCTACTATGGAAACTTTGTTGGAGCAGGAACCCCAAGCAGATCCCAGGCAAGGTAATATATCATGTGCCTAATCGTACATCCCTCTAGATTTTTATACATTTTCAGGACTTGAGAGATAAAAGAGAAAGGTGAAAAACTGGGGAAAAATCCAAGAGCTTGTAGAATAAACAGCAAAGATGCCAAAGAGAAGACTAGCCCTCAGGAGAACTAGAGTTGGTTTACTCTTTTGGGTAATAACTGGACTGGATTCTGTTATATGTGTTCTACAGGTGTTTAATGATCCCATCCACGGGCATATAGAGTTACACCCACTTCTTGTCAAAATCATTGACACACCTCAGTTCCAGAGACTACGGAGTATCAAGCAGCTCGGAGGAGCCTACTTTGTTTACCCTGGAGCATCCCACAACCGCTTTGAACACTCGATTGGGTATGTTCTCAGGATTTTTTAGATCTAGTGTCTTAAGGTAACGGTAATCACAATCCTAATTAAGTAAATACCTGTTTGCAGTAAAGCACCTATCAATAGCAAAATATTTTAAAAGTAAACATATTACATACCTTACTTAGTATTGGCATAACACAAATTCATATATTTCAAGTTTTGCAGCAGGATATTCATGCAGTAATTGTGTAATGAGTTCTTTGTTGTGTGTGCTGTATGTGGTGGTAAAGGGTGGCGCATTTAGCAGGTAAGCTTGGACAAGCTCTGAAAACAAAGCAGCCAGATCTCAACATCACTGACAGAGACATCCTCTGCGTACAGATTGCTGGTCTTTGTCATGATCTCGGTGAGTGAGGCACACCTTTGGAAATTGTCGAATAAAAGTCAATGTTGATCCAATTTCAAGGGTTTCTGTAGGCACTAACAATTAAAGGCTCGTCGGAACTAACAGCAGACAAAAAAAACAAAGTGTGCAATGGTCCACATGATAATGTACATTTCTGTTCTTCAGAATACTTTTCTTATTTCAGTGATGAGCTACTGCTAATATAAACTCAGCATTCCTGTAGATGTTTTAGATTAAATGTCTAACAGAGAAGTCCTTTAGTTCAAAATACTTACAGGAAGTGTTGAATTTCTTTGACATTCAACATTAAATCTTATTGAATGGTAAAGTGAAAAGTTTAAAAGGTATTCTTGAAAAGAACTATTACATGTTGTCTGACCATTTCAGAAGGAAAAAGTGTTTATAGTTGTTCCAAAGGACCATACTTGATGCAAGGTCGCAAGATGATAATTGTTGAAATATAAAATAATGGCACACACTTCAGATAGTCTCTCCTGTAAGGCATTCATAGTGTTGTACACACAAAAAGTAACTCTCTTGTTTACGCATTCACTACCAATAAAACACCCAATGCTATAGAGAGCAGTAAATTAAGATTTTAGATATTTAATAATCAAAGTCACGTTTAACACAAACAGGAAACAATTCATCTTTTCAGAAAATTCTGTGGAAGTTTGTGCTGGTTTCAAATGGAAACTTGGCTAGAATTTTAATATAACACAGCTGAGATGTACGTTTAGATTTTATTAAAACAGTTAAACTTGGAGGAAATGTTGAATTTGGGAGGACATTACGAAACATGATCAAATTAAAATGCGTGAATAAGAGGTAAAGGCCTGCCTTTAATACAAACCTGTTTAAAATAATAACAATAAGATAAAATCACAAATGGCTCATTTTACAGTTCACACACAATCACCTTTAGATTAACTTCAATTAATTTCTCCATATCTAGGACATGGGCCATTTTCCCATCTGTTTGATGCAATGTTCATCCCTAGAGCACGTCCAGACAAGAAGGAGTGGAAGGTAAGAAACAATTATTTCTGTTGTTCATGACATATTACATGACAAAGGAAAACACAGCCATGAGCTGCATTAAGGAAGCAAATCAGTTTGATATAAATGGTAACTAATTAGCAAAGACACAAACAACAAGTCAGTGCTTAGTTGTTAAGCTGCAAGCAAAAAAGCCAACATAATGGCGGATCATTTATTTGTGAGCCCAACTGAACACTGAGATACGGTTTAAAAAAACAAATCATCTGATTTCATCTCAGGCATAATGGATAATAATGGCATAATGCAGTCTCTTTAGGTACGGACATCTTCATGGTTATTTTCTCAGACTGGAGAGAAACAGTAGACATAGGCTGAGTAGCACTAACTGTGACTAGTGAACTGATCTTAATGTGTAGAATTTGTTGCAGTCCCCTTACTTTGAAAACATAAAGACCAGGTGAGATGAAAAGTGTCATTTTAACCCTTTAAGTATGCATCCTCCGTTATATTGTACCCCTATTTAAGACTACATGCCAAAATCATCGTTTCTTACTGTAAAACAAAATGTGACACATGCTTACGTAAGCATAAAATAACTGATTTCAACCAACAATATCATGACATTCACCTGTCAATAAAGCTTCAACTTTTAGTGACACAGAGCGAAGATTCATGAGTTAGCTAGTTAACAAAAGCATGGCTAGCTACAGGAGCCGAGTGATTCTGGGACCTCACTGAAAGTGAATCATATTTGATTTGTTCCGAAAGAAGAATCTACGTGTTGCTAAAAGAAATGTTAGATGTTAGATTGTTCTCACTTTGAATTCTGGTATTAATATATTAATGAGTCTGTTTCTGTTGCAGCATGAAACTGCTTCTCTGGCCATGTTTGACCACCTGGTGAAAAGTAATGGTCTGGAGGTTGAGATGGAGCAGTATGGCCTGATCCCATCCGAGGATCTGACCTTCATCAAGGAGATGATTCACATAGACACCAAGAAAGACCAGGAGAAAACTAGCACAGCTCAAGACCAGAAAAAGGTCACGTGAATTGTGTGAAATCAGTCAGTATCAATATTGTTACAGCAACCAATGTCTAATGCCAAGATTGTCTGTAGTCTCCACAGTGGCCGTATGAAGGCCGTAAAGAAGACAAGTCCTTCCTCTATGAAATCGTGTCCAACAAAGAAAATGGCATTGATGTGGACAAGTTTGACTACTTTGCCAGGTGGGACTTGTTTAACAGCGACTGTGGAACAATTTACTTTTTGATGTAGAATGATGAACTTTGTAGGGTTTGCTATGATAAATCACAGCGGCCCCATTTGTTGGTACAACAGTGGTTTAACTGTATTAGTGTAATCAATTTATTTTGGTTATCAAAGTTTAGAATTATCAAAAGATAATAGAAAATGACTTTAATTATTATTAAAGATCATCGGGGCACCACCCTTAAATAAGGGAATGATAGCCAATATTTGATTGATAAGTCTCATAAAAATACACTAAATTATTAATTTAGAAATCAGATTAATAATTCTAATAACAAGTTTTAATAATTAACTACAACCACAATCCCTATTAATAATTAAAGTGGAAGGCTTTGGAGTTCTGCATAGAAGAGGTTGGTATCACTCACTCTTGTACGAAATTAAATAGGCCAGCATGTATAAACACAAACATTTATTAAAGGAACAATAAACGCAAACAGAGGAAAATACACAATGTGCAATCTAACTTAGCGGGAGGGTTTGAGTTTGAGTTGCATGCAAAGACGGTGTCTGTGTGAAGCATTACATTAAACTACCATCACTTTAGCAATGTCTCAGAGAATACAGTTACTACAGTAACCTGCGTTAATCAAATCAACAACACAATACAATAACCACAATAACCCGAATAAAAACACATTAGTAACATCAACAGTAATTAAAGTCCTTGTTCAGCCGTTAACTCTGTTAAGTTATCTGTTTATGCCCAGTACGTTACCGACAGTCCAATGGAGGAAGAAGAAGAAGAGTTGCGGGTGTGCTGCGTGGATCAGCTGATCAGATTCTGGTTCTGAAGTCCAAACAGTCTCTGATGTCCGCTGGTGCAGGTAGCAAGAAAAAAGGCGTTTCGCTCGTTGCTCTGCAGAGTTAAGGACTTGGCGTTAACGTCGCGTTGCTCCGGTAAAGTCCGACTTTCTCTTTAAAGCTGCAGATGTTGACTCCCGTTAGCGGTGCGCTGCCCAGGGATCGCAGGAAGAAGCTCTTGTGCCATACTATAATCCTTAGACGTGCGTCGGCGGTGGGACGGGCCGCACCGAGGTCCTAAACGTATCACCCGGTGTGGGCGAGCGAGTGAGCGGCGAGAGCGAAGAGAGAGAAAAGAGAGAAGAGAGAGAAGAGAGAGAAGAGAGAGAAAAGAGAGAAGAGAGCGAAGAGAGAGAAGAGAGAGAAGAGAGAGAGTAACTCCGTGTCAGGAGTTTTATCACCTGGACATCGCGCGTCATCAAGCTGCATGAGGTTACGGTCACAGGAAGTGACAGGAAGTGACCCGTCACAATAAAAGTCCAGTTAACCACATGAACGAGCTCACATTTTAAGGTCCCCTTTGAGCCGACAACTTCTATGTATTATTTCCCCAGAACAATTACAATAAATAGGAACTAAAAGGCAGATCTTCACAGCTTGGTATCAACTGGAGGAACTTGCAGTGATCATATTTGATGAGAAGAGATGTAGGCTTTCCAAAAGATCCTCATAGAAATAAATAAATAACCTTATTTAAAAAAAATTCTAACTACAAAATTATAGTGTTGGGAGATTTTAACATTGATTGGCTAACTAAAGCTTTTCATTATTTAAATGAGTTTTTTCATGAGTCTATTCAACCCTGTGCTCTATAAATCCCAACTGCAACAATAATATTATTAGGCACAAGTTTTATTTTGTATTTTTTTATTTATTATTTTATTTTATTATTTATTAATTTATTTTTTTATTTTTTTTAGTCAGAGGAGCAGAATTACTTAATGTCTTCTGGCATAGGGAAGATATAAATAAGATTATTAAAATTCATATTAGTGCGTCTGGTTCACCATCTACATGGCCCACAGACTGATAACACGAGTTTGAGGCTGAAGTTCTGTCCAGAAGGGGGGGCCTGGTAAAATAAGATAGGACAAGAAGGCCGAAACAGTGACGAGGTGTAATGACCGTTTGCCCAGATGTGGCAGGGGAGTCAGTTACACAGGACATTGTTTGGAACTTTCTCCAGGTTGCTTTTGCTGATTAGACACAATAAGACCATTTTCTTCACTCTGTTCTATCTTAGGGACTGCTACCACCTGGGCGTCCAGATCAACTTTGACTATCGTCGCTTCTTAAAGTTTGCCAGGGTGTGTGAGGTGGATGGCCGGAAGCACATCTGTGTTAGAGACAAGGTAAAGACAATGTTACTCCTACTCTTGTATCAGATTGTAAACAGATTTGTTCCGACTAAACTATAGGCAATACTCTCAACAGGAGGAGGATAATATGTCTGAAATGTTCCACACCAGGCTCTGTCTCCACAGAAGAGCCTACCAGCACAAAGTGAACAAGATCATAGAGACTATGTGAGTACTTACCCTTCTCTACTTTTTAAGCAGCTTTTCTGAAGAATGCAATGCATGTTGTGATGTTTTTTGTTTTACAATGAAATGGCAGGATAAATTAAAAATCAAAGGCAACTTGTTCCAGTGAGAATGACATCTCTGGTAGTTTGGTGACAGGTGGTGACATTTTGTGTGTTTCATTTTTAAATGTGAAAATATCACTTTTAAAAATGATTAATGATTAATAATGATTAATGAAGATGATTAATAATGATTATCCAGGATCACAGATGCCTTTTTAAAAGCAGACTCAGTAGAGAACAATGAATCAACAATCACTATCTACAAAGCCATTGATGGCAAGACTGAAAGCACAGAAAAGAAGACTTTCAGACTCTCCAAGGCCATTGATGACATGGAGGCCTACACTAAGCTGACAGGTCTGTAGATAGCACTGGGACAAATCTGGTTCTCTAGCTGTAAGAACACGTGTTTGTTTAGTAAATCTTTATAATAATAAGCAATTGTAAAATCTGTCATTGCAATTTGATTTTTTTTGCAATAGTGCAGCCTTAATTAATTCACATTTTATTTAGCTGATTTTCTGAAGTTTGGTTAAAATCTGTGCTATATTTTGATAAAAACCTAGTTACTAACAGTTAGGCTACCTAGCTTATTATTGAGAAACTAACAGGTATATTGCATTAAGAGGTAATAAGTTTTGTTGGAGTTGTTGGAGTTCAAAACTCATCTAAACTCCATTAAATCCAATAAAGAGCAGGACAGTTGTAAACATTACCCTAGACTTTGACACAGTAGCAACTACAATCATGTGAATATGCATATAAACACAATGGTTTTCTCAAGCATGCTTAAATAAAGTTAATTTAATTTATTCCATATTTAAAAACAAATGAATGAGGTAAAGTAATCTTGTCCCAGTTATACTGTCTCTCAGGTTACCATGTCCGTTTTGAATTTGTGAAACACTATGAATGATTTGTGACCATGTCTTTGGTTTGGTTTAATTCACTGATCTTCCACTCTGTTTATCTGTTTCTCTGTAGATGCTGTGTTTGAACAAATACTCAACTCAACATCCGAGGAGCTGAAGGATGCAAGACACATTCTACGCAGGATCATCACTCGAAAACTCTACAGGTTTCTGGGTGAAACGCGGTTGGACGATCCCACTGAGGTTTCTACAAATGTCGTTGTGTGCCTTTATTGCATTACACTGTCTGTCATATCATCTATTTCTCTGTTATAATGAAGCTGGATGTTATGCTCCTTTTGTGTGCACATTCCTTGTTTCTGTTTTCTCTATCTTTTTCTCATTGCTTATATGGATATTGTGCTTGGATTTCACATGGACTACAACACATTCCTACCATTTACTTACCATTTGAATTTAGAGGATGTGATAGCAATGTGAGCAAAATCACAGAAAGAAACTTACTCTCTTACTGGATCTACACTGAGCTGGCAGTTTTTTGTGTGAAAATGACTCACATTCACACTCCCATACAGGTCATATATTTCATAGAACTTCTGCCCACAGGTAAACAGTAGAAAAGGCAAAATCTCTTCTTCTTTATCTTCTTTTTAGTTGGCAAACAACAAAATTGCACATCACAGCCAACACCTGATGATGTGTTGGACAGACAGCCCAGCTGACAAATACTCCTTGTGATGCTGTTTTAATGCAGCCAATATTGTTGTCACTTAATATTTTCCTGTACTGGAATGAGTATGACATAAATATTACACCTCTGTGGCTCAGGAGGTAGAGCAGGGTGGATGATTTGATCCTCAGCTCCTCCTGTCAATATGTCAAAGTGACCTTGAGAAAGACATTGAATCTGAAAGCCCTTGTTAGCCGCGTTAAGATCAAAAAGCTTGATGTACACTGCACAAAATTATAAACGCAACACTGTTGTTTTTGCATTTTCGAGTGGCCTTTTATTGTGGCCAGCCTAAGGCACACCTGTGCAATACCCATGCTATGCTGATCAGCATCTTGATATGCCATATCTGTGAGGTGGATGGATTATCTCGGCAAAGGAGAAGTGCTCACTAACATAGATTTTGACAGATTTGAACAATATTTGGGAGAAATAGGCCTGTTATGTACATAGAGAAAGTCTTAGATCTTTGAGTTCAGCTCATGATGAATGGGGGCAAAAACAAAAGTGTTGCTTTTTAAATTTTGTTCAGTCTAATGTGCATGTTATTTCCAAGCTGCAGTGCACATAAAATCACTATTTTATGATCATCAGATCATGTGATCTAGTCAAACACACACACAAACTCCCTGACTGAATAAAACTGCACAGATTTTCCTCACACACACTGCAAGATTTAAATACTCTGTAGAAAGTTTTAGAATAGCTCCACGAATTCTGTTTTAGTGTGGACAAAGAGCCAAAACCAAGAAACAAAGATTTAAATGTAACTGCTTGATGCAGATGTAGTCCTACAGTGTGTTGTTAAGATGCAATAAATCTCAAACCTCTTGTCGCTCTACTTCTCACCCTTTCTCCTCCTTTCTTAGGAAAAAGGAGAAATTCCTGTTTGGAAAAAGGAATTGATGAAACTTCTTGGTGACAGGTGGAAAGAACATGACTTTGAGATTAAGGTGACTTTTCAGTCTAAAACTTCACTTTTCTCTAAATGTTTATAATAATTATCAATTGATTTGTAAGATGTTGTCTTCCTCCATTTTAGCATAATTTGATTTGAGAATATGAAAACAAACTTATCTCCCACATTTCTCTGTTAGACCATTGAAATGGTCAAAAAACTTAGGAGGCAACAAAAACATTTTCTTAACTTTACTAACACACACACGCACACACACGCACACAAACTCCCTGACTGAATAAAACTGCACAGATTTTCCTCAAACACACTACAAGATTTAAATACTCTGTAGAAAGTTTTAGAATAGCTCCATGAATTCTGTTTTAGTGTGGACAAAGAGCCAAAACCGAAAAACAAAGATTTAAATGTAACTGCTTAATGCAGATGTAGTCCTACAGTGTGTTGTTAAGATGCAATAAATCTCAAATCTCTTGTCCTACCACTTCTCCTCCCTTCCTAGGAAATATTTCCTGCTTGGAAAAGGGAATTGGCTAAAACTCTCGGTGGCGAGCTGACCGAAGATGACTTTGACATTACGGTGAGTTTTCAGTCTAAAACTTCACTTTTCTTTAAATGTTTTTAAGTGTCTTAATTATCAATTGATTTGTAAGATGTTGACTTCCTCCATTTTAGTGTAATTTGATTTGAGAATATGAAAACAAGCTTCTCTCCCACATTTCTCTGTTAGACCATTAAAATGGACTATGGGATGAAACGCGAGGACCCCATCGATCACTTATATTTCTACAGCAAGCACAACACTACCCGCGCATTCAAGAGGAAGGTCAGAACTAAAACGATGATGACAACAGTTTTAATTTTAGTCTTCCTTTGCATTACATCCCTCTGTTGTAATTATTCTGAAATGTATGCTGCTTTCAGCGTTGTCAGGTGTCCAGGATACGCCCAACGTGCTTTTCTGAGCGACTGGTCAGGTTTGTCTGTAAGAAGACTGATCTGAAGGCTGATCCGAAGGCTGACCCGAGGGCTGAGTTTAAAAAGTGGTGCAAGGCAAAGGGCTTCCCAGAGTATCAGGTAATCTTTATAAATAAGCTATTAAATATATGATATTGTAGGTATTATGTGGGAGTTTGTGTAGCCTAGGGCTGTAGCCACTGATTACTTTCATTATTGTTTAATATACCAAATATTTTCTTATAAAAGCAGTCAGAAAACTCAAAAATTATTGATTTACTTAAACATAAGACAGAAAAACAGCAAAGCTGAATCTAGGCAACATTTTTGCTTGAAAAATGACTTAATTATGATTATAATTGTTTATCAAAATAGTTGCCCAACTTCAGTTATGTATCTTTCACTCCAGCTTTTGGAAGATGGACATCAAAACTGAAAACAAGCAAACACTCCCTGGTAATCATTGGTTCATGATTGAAAATGATTTAAATATTATATAAGGTGAGTATGTTAATGCACACAGAGTCTTCTTTATAAATTAGGATGCATTTGCATATTCAGGCCCTGTACTCTGGTCTTTTAGAGGCCTGATCAATATTATACATGTATCTGTAGTTTAGTTTGATTTTAGACTCCTTTCATAATCTAAAGCTGTACGTGTCTGATTTTAAACTGAATCACTTCTTAATAGCATGTTGTTACTAAAAACATACCAGAAACATACTATTACTCTGTTGTGAACAATCAATCATGGTTACTTAAAATATGTTTGTGTGAAACTGAATATGTACACAGAAAGTTTCACTGATTTATTCATTTATGCGTCTTCATGTATTCTGTGTATTCACTTGCCAACATATATAATGGAGTTTGTCATTTAAAGTTTAATTTGTGGTTAAGGGATTTCAAATATTTTGGTTTTGATGTTAATCACGTGACTTAATGTGGAAATTTGATTAGATATTATTATGACTTTGAGTGATGTTTGATTTTAGGTAGTTTCTGGTGGTGGTTGTGGTTCCAACGATTGACTGTATCTTTCTTGAACCACAGAATTTATCTTTACTTCTTCAATGTTGATTTTTTTTTCATTTGTTTTTAAATATCTCTTTTATTGGTGACATATTTTATCATATTTTTTTCTTGAATTATTGTAGCTTTTGAAACTGGCTCTTTTTTTTTATCTAACCATCTGTATGCATGTGGTAAATGGAAAATTATAAATATATAAACATATTCTAAATATGTAATGGGGCTATAAAGGTAAACAATTAGAAGCTTAGAAGCTTTAAACTTTATTCCTAAAGTTGATAATAGATGGTTCTCTACTTGAAATAAAACTATTTTTTCCTTTGTTGTGTGCCCTCCTGCAGTTTAATTTGTCACACACTAGAGGACATCATACACTCTCGTGTGTTTTGCTGCAGCTATCCCCAACCCCATGTAATGTGTCTAATATACACATTGTTTGTACAGTAACAGGTGATATGGAACCCCCAAAGTCAAAGACAATTATTTTTCTGGTCTTGTGTACACAAGATAATATGTTGAGGCACACGTGATGGTAACGCATGAAATAAGTAGTTTTTATTAATTTAATTGATATCCAACTGTACATTTATTGCTTTAATTTTCCTAACATGAAAAGGAAAAAGCCCAGTGTTGAATTAACTCGCACAGTTGACAGTTTTTCAGGGTTTATATAGCTCCGCACTCTCCAGAGTTATTAATCAAAATAGTTAAACATTTAACACTTTGCAGAGTTAATTTTACTCCCTTTAAGTGTAAAATCTACACTGAAAAAATGTAAATATTAATTATAACAATTAATGACAATAATCTCAATAATTTTCAAAATTAAAATCAGTTTTTGCCTTTTCATGTGTAAAACCATCAATCATATCATCATATAAATCATACGCATTAAAACGCAAAATGTGCTTTGAAATGTTCATCAAATGGCTTGAGGGAGTGGTGTTATGTTTGGTAGGACTGTGGACCGGGGTGCGGATTCAGATCACTCTAGGCAGGTTGAGGTCAAGGGTTTTATTCACAAAGAACTGAGTAGAAGTGGAACTGTGCTTGAAAAGGGCAAGATGAGAGCAGGGGCAGGCAGGTCCTGAACAGTGGCAACCAGCGCTCCAAAAGATCCTCCAGGCAACACAAAACACTCCGGGTGCAGGAATCTTGGAAAGGAGAGAAAAAACACAAAGCTTTTAGTTCTGGTCTTGACAGAGAAACTCACTCTAACCAAAAACTCTAGAGACTAAATTGGCCTGAAGTACTCAACCATGGGTAAGGAATAATCTGGCGACGAGTCTCAGGTAACCCCACTTCTTAAGGCCAGGCACTGATGAGGATTGCCAGCAGGTGTGCAACTCCACCAGGTGATCAGCTCACTGCCAGGCATAACACACACCCACAGACAGAACCACAGGAGAAACAGAAAACAAGGAACACACCCCCAAGTGTTACAGCATCAACTGTGACAAGTGGTTTGCCTGGCATGAGATGAGATGCTTATCCATGGTGATGTAGAAGCTGTCAATCCAGTTCTTCTGATGCCTAACAGTGAGGAGGTGTGGTTGTTGATCCTGCTGGTTGCGGGAGATGATCCTCCAAACTGTAGCATGACTACGGTTGAGATAAGGAAACAAAGAGAGAGATCATTATTGAAGTGATTACTTAAACATCTCCCTGCCTAGTGTGAAAAAGGAAAGCATATGAAGACAATTTGTCTTTCTCTAAAATGACTGACCCCACCTTTAATGTGTAAGAAACATTTCAATGTTGCAGCTTGTTGAGGGGAAACTAATTTTAACCATCTTTTAGACCGTTGGGTGGTTCAATCTATAACAACGTGCCACATTTTATAAGCAAATGATATGTTATGTAAGTAAAATCTATATAAAGTACAGTGGCTGAGAAGTTGATCTGGACTGAAAGCATCTCTCCATTTCCTCCTAGACAAATTAGGCAATGCAAATTTGAGGTATATAAATGTCATTTTTGGAGACAGAGTTGCTAGTCAAGATTAGAAGTCTTGTGTAATGGTCTGCCCTGATCACCTGTTTTAACAACGTGATATAACATTAGTGTGACTATCCTGATATATTTATATCGCTTGTCAGATCACAGACACAGATACAACCTTTGACAGATCCAAGACTCTAAAGAAGACAATGCCAGCAAAGTTGCCTTTCAACTTTAAGAAATGGACTGTGAACAAAATTGTGCAGTACCTTGAACAAGAAGAACTTGGACAATGGGCAGATAAATTCAAAGGTTGGTTTTCTGGTTTGGTAGATTTAATTAAAGTTAAGTTATAATCTCATGGTGTAACGTAAATAAGTTAAGAAGTTAGAAGCTGCTTTAACTAAGGACTTTCCCTATGATTCTGTATTGTGAGGCATGGAAGCCAATATGAAGGCTACTTGTCATAATGTAATACAGGACAGTTATTAACGGCTTTCTCTATTACACAGAAAAACAAATCACTGGTAATGATAATAATAATACATTTTATTTAAAGGCGCCTCTCTGGGCACTCAAGGACACCGTACAACGCATAAAAAATAAAAACAGTAAGAAATAAGAAACAGATAAGAAAAGACGATGTAGTTAAGTAAGTTTATAGTTAAGTGGGGTATGCAGTTCTAAATAGGTGAGTTTTTAGTATTGATTTGAAGAGTCTTAGAGAGTCCAGGTTCCTGAGGTCCGGTGGGAGTGAGTTCCAGAGATGGGGGGCACCATGCTCCCCATGGTGACGAGGCGGGCGGGAGGGACAGAGAGGTGGACAGAGGAGGCAGATCCGAGGGAACGGGAAGGGGTGGCGATGTGGAGGAGTTCGGACAGATAAGGAGGGGAAAGGTTGTGGATGGCCTTGAACGTAAACAGGAGGATTTTGAAGTTTATGCAGAGTTTGACCGGGAGCCAGTGAAGTTGCTGCAGAACAGGGGTGATGTGGTGGATGGAGGGGGTTCTGGTGATGATTCGAGCTGCAGAGTTCTGAACCAGTTGAAGTTTATTGAGGTATTTGTGAGGTAGACCGAAAAGAAGGGAGTTGCAGTAGTCGATGCGGGAGGTGACAAGGCTGTGTACAAGAATGGCAGTGGAGTGGGGAGAAAAGGAGGGGCGGAGGCGATTAATATTGCGAAGGTGGAAATATGCAGACCGGGTGATGTTATTGATATGGGATTGTAAAGATAATGTGCTGTCAAGGATGACACCCAGACTCTTAACCTGGGGGGAGGGGGAGACAGAGGAGTGGTCGATGGTGAGGGAAAAACTGTCAGCTTTTGAGAGGGTTGATTTAGTGCCAATAAGAAGAAATTATGTTTTATCACTGTTTAGTTTGAGGAAGTTGGAGGAAAACCAGGATTTGAGCTCGGTGAAGCAGTCAGTAAGGGAGGAAGGTGGGAGAGTGGAATTGGGTTTGCTGGAGAGGTAGAGCTGGGTGTCATCCGCGTAGCAATGAAAATGGATGTTGTATTTGCGGAAGATATTGCCAAGGGGAAGGAGGTAGATTATGAAGAGAAGGGGGGCCAGGACAGAGCCCTGGGGCACACCAGTGGTGACAGGGGACGGGTGGGAACTGAAGGATTGGAGTTGGATGAACTGAGTGCGGCCTGAGAGGTAGGATTTAAACAGGTCAAGGGGTGTGTGTGAAATGCCAATGGAAATTAATCTGTTAAGAGGATAGTGTGAGAGATGGTGTCGAAGGCCGCACTCAGATCGAGGAGGATGAGAATAGTGAGTAAACCAGAGTCGGCTGCCAGGAGGAGGTCGTTTGTGATTTTGATTAGTGCAGATTCAGTGCTATGGAGGGGGCGGAAACCAGACTGGAATTGTTCGTACAAGTTGTTAAGGGTTAGATGAGAATGAATTTGGGAAGCAACAGTTTTTTCAAGGAGTTTGGAGAGGAAAGGTAGGTTGGAGATGGGACGATGGTTATTATAATTATTAGGGTCAGCAACAGGTTTTTTCAATATTGGAGTGATGGCAGCAGTTTTGAAGAGTGTAGGAACAATTCCAGTGGAGAGTGAGGAATGGATGATGGCAGAGATGAGGGGGAGCAGAGAGGGGAGGCAGGCTTTCACCAGAACTGAGGGGAGGGGATCTAACTGACAGGTGGAGGGCTTGGACTTTAGGATGAGGTCTGAGATATCTAAGTCCGAGGGGAGCTGAAAGAAGGAGAATGAGTGAGACGTCAGACAGGGTTCAGGATCTGATGAATTTTCTGATTGAAAAAGGACATCAGGGAGTCACAGAAAGCAGTTGAGTACAGATGGGGAGGGAGAGAGGCTGGGGCCTGATTGTACCACCATCTGATTTCTTTTAGTTTTCACACCTCAATTTTCTCTCTTCAACTAATTCCCTATTATACTCTTCTGTATTTTCTTTTTTTCTTTTTTCGAGGGAACCTAATGATCGTGAGAGAATCCTGTTCTGTATCAGGAAGCTCTGGGAAGTCCAAGGCAAGTTAATTTATGTGTCTAATTATACATCACAATACATTTCCATACATTTTAAGGACTAGAGAGATAAGAGAGAGTAAATAGAAAAAATCAAGAGCTTGTAAAATACACAACTAAAAGATTCCAGGATCAGTGAATGAACCTAATCACAAAATCAAAATTGGGCTTGTTTACTCTCCATTGTTGATTGGACAGCAAAGGAGATGTGGGAGGAAAAAAATCAGAAATATTGCAGTATGAAATAAAGAAAAGACTAGCCCTCAGGAGAACTCGAGTTGGTTTACCCTTTTGGGTAATAACTGGACTTGATATTGTTTTATGTGTTCTACAGGTGTTCAATGATCCCATCCACGGGCATATGGAGTTACACCCACTTCTTGTCAAAATCATTGACACGCCTCAGTTCCAGAGACTACGGAATATCAAGCAGCTTGGAGGGGCATCATCAAATACAGTCGCAAGCGGCGTTAGTTGCATCCCCACTGTAAGCCAGTAAATCCTTCACACTTGTCCTTTAAAAAGCAAGGCAGAGTCCAGCCAATGGTCAGCGGCTGTCTGCCTCGACTGCTTGAGGTTTGAGTGTGGGTGGGGGAGTATAGAGAGGAGTAAACACAATCCCCAATCTAGGCACGGAACGATCTGTAGGAACCTGGAGACAAGAAGATCTAGGCTGTATAATATAGGATACCGTAGGTACTATATGGGGACTTCAGACTGGAGATTCCATTAAAGTTAGTTTAGTTATGAGCATTAGGATGGGAACATAAGCAGAGATGGAGAAATTACATATATTACATCTTGTCAGAGCTCCAGGATCCAACTGCAGTTTTATTGCTCTCTGATCTTGGATCTTGAGTCTAGTCTTGCAGCTAATGATTATTTTCCTTGTTGATGAATCTACAAATTATTTGATTATTCTACTAATATAGTTTAATTTAATTTCAGAATTTAAAATTCATCACAACTGGGTTTCAGTAACAATTGGCATTTTAGTGGGAAAATAAGAGTATAGTTTTATTAATTTATTATTAGTCAGTCGACTAATGATTTCAGCTCCAGTGCAGTCTAGTGCAACTTCAGCAATGAATCTCTCACTATAAACTGCTCTTCATAATACTGATGCACTTATCTGCGCTGTGTTTATTTACATGCAGGATGGAGACACCGGAGCTCAGCCGTGAGGAAAATTTCCCCAAAAATTAATCTGAAGTTTTGGAAGATCAAAACTGATAAATAGAAAGCAAAAATTCCCTAACAAATGTATGCTTCTTTGCGTATTCTCTGTGTTTTCTTTATAATTGGAATCTGCCAACATATGTAATGGAGTTTTTCATTTAAAGTGAACATTTAATTTGTGGTTCAGGGATTTCAAATATTTAGTGGTGTTTGGTTTTAATGTTAATCATGTGAATTAATGTGGAAATCAGATTAGATACATTTTGATTCTGAGTGATGTTTGATTGAGATTTTTTTCTGGTGGTGGTTGTGGATCCAGCTTGGTTATTTTACTGAATATTTCTTCCACTACAGGATTTACTGTTACTTATTCACAGTTTATTCACTTTTATTAATGGCATCTTTTATTTTGTTAATTATTCTACCTTTTGAAACTCTTGAGAAGCACTATGTTTTTCATCTATCAATATGAAAAAAGCATTTAATACTCATACGATAAAGGCTCAAATCTTTTTTTTTATGTAATCATTTGTATGAATGTGGTTAAGGCAAACTTTGGGTTTCATTGTGTTTTGCTCATTGTGTGAAAATGTTTTATATTGTTATTATGTAATGTAGCTATAAAGGGAAACCTACCAGAGGTTATTAGAAGTTTTGAACTTCATTCCTATTGAGACAGGTTGATAATAGAATATTTGAAATAAAACTCTTTTACTCTTCATTATGTGAACTTGCGCAGTTAAACTTGTCTAACACTTGAGGGAATCATTCACTTGCATGTTCCAGCTGTCACCCAGGAATAGAAAGGCTGCTCAACTATAAAAACAGTTGAATTTGAACTTTATTGATGCAATGTGTAAAATGTACAAATTGTTTGTACAGTAGCAGGTGATATGTAACCCCCCAAAGCACAAAAGATTATTTCTCTTGTGTGCACAAGATAATATATTGTGTTATTTAAGTTATGGTCATACATGAAATAAGTAACAACCGATGCACATAAAGAAAATGTATAATATAACCTAAGAATAAGTAATGTATGTCATTGATGTCAAATTTTACATTTACTGCCTTAATTCTCAACATGCCTCATGACAAGAGTCTGAACTGAAGCATCTGTCATTTATTCATTTTCTTATTATTATTGTCCTGTGGCTTCCATACTCTTCTACAATTGTAAAACAAATATTTTTTGGTTGGTGTTGGTGACACAAAACAAGACATTTAAAGAAGTCGCCTTAAGGTTAAGGATCTTCGATGGAGATTTTCCACAATTTTCTAATATTTTCTTGACCAAACAACTAATCAATTAATCGAGAAAATAATCACAGATTAATGATAAAGACTTTAATTGTTAGTTGCAGCCATATATCTCATCACATTCCCATCAGTCTCCACAGAGTGTCTCCTTACAGCAAAAAGGTCCCAGATTCCATCCATCCTGGCCTCTAATGGGGAACCCTGTCAAGCTTCAGCATCTAATCATTAATAGATCTATGTTCCAACCATCACTCCTGATCATGAGCTTTGAGGTAGTGACTGAGAAAATGGGTAGCAGAACCGCTGCTCCCTCGTGACATATTGCTACTTTTAAAGGAGCATTTTTACTGCATTTTTGTTGTCTTAGTACTTGTACTTTGTGCAATGACAATAAAGTTGATTCTAATCTAATCTAGTGAACAGGATTGTTCAATGTGACTAACATCAGGGTTGAGATCCAAAATGATTGAGTAATATTTTGCCCTCCTTACACCTTAGCAACATGATCCCAGATAACTAGCTAAACATGGCCATAAGCTTTGTGTATGCAGTGCGTGTGTTGCAGAATGTTTTGCTTTTTATTCCAATGTTAACAAATCAGAGCAGGCACACTGCCCACATGAGCAATACGTCTCTGCAGCAACACTTCACTAGAGAGTTGAGGTCTTGCATATCTTTTCTATGTGCCATTACTAACAAAAACAGACACTATCAAAGGGACTGGGTCTGGCAACAGACTGCTGCTCTTGCTGTATTCCCACTAGGAGGGACTGGAAACAGAACAAACAACAACGCTACCAAACTCCCTCGGAAGGTAAAACCGTCTCAAGAGAAGTTTGATAACACTGTTGTTTGTGCTGTATAGGGTGGAGATGATAGCAACATAAACTCAACGGTGTTTGTCACTGATGATAATCTGGAGCAGACTGGCAGAGCGTAAGTGTCCTTTCTCTTTACAATTTGCTAACTTTAATTTATAATATTTTTATTACGTAACTTAGTGACTATCTAACAATCCTACACAATATCAGGAAGCTCTGGCTGATCACAAGGCACGGAAATATAACATAGGTAATCGTAGATCACACTAAATATTCAGGGCTAGAGATAACTTGTAGAATACACAGGAAGTGAGTATGTAAGATGTGAATGAAGTGAATGAACCTTGCCAACTGCATAATTGGGACTGTTCCTCTTAACTCTTGCTTGTGAAGTCCATTGTCAATCTAGAGCAAAAGAGATGTGGAGGCTAGAAAAAAATGAGAAGGAGGAAGATTACCGCAGGAAATGAACAACTATTTCAGTGATCAATCAGGGGAATTAGGAGTGTTTTTTTTATTAATTTCTATGATATTATTAAAGATAAAGATATTATTTAGTACCTTTAGAGTTTCAGAATGGCTTTTTCTGAAATTTAATTACTTATATTGTTATGTTTTGTTTTGTGAATTCAGACAAAAACATCTTCAGCAATTCAATCAATCAAAATCTGTCATTCATTAAAGAACAAATGCAACATTTCTTTAACGTTATTATTGTTTTGTGGCTTCCATACTCTTCTTCAATTGAAAACAAATATGTTTGTGTTGTTCACACAAAACAAGACATTTAAAGAAATCGCCTTAAGGTACTTCTTCCACATTCACATAAGTAAAAAGACGAAAAGAACTCAGCAGAACTAACTGTTGGTACAGGAAAATGTTACAGCAAATCAGTGATCACTGAAATAAAATAGGCGACTAGTACATTTATATTCAATTTTTGGTCTGTGTGGCCTGGGAATAAGTTCATAAGCAACTAGAACAGCACTTCCATTCAACTTTTTTAATTTTGCCAGGCATTTTTGGCAAGACACCCTTCTTCAGTGTGTATTGGCAAGTTCATCCCATTTTACTTTATCAAACACCTTTTCAAAGTCAGCAATAAATAAAAGCCCATTACAATTCCTCATTCACAAATTAGGCAATGCAAATTATTTGACTCAGAGGGCAGTAGTTAGATGGGTGTGGTGGAGACAAAGTATTGTTCAACACAGCACAGGTCTGTCGTGATCAGATGTTTAAACAATGTGATATAACATTGCTCAGTTAAGATTTAGCTTTAAGAATTGGACTCTGGAAGGAACCATTGCATTTCAGAAGAAAAAAATGGCAGAACAAGTTTAGTATAAAATAGTTTTTCTGGTTTTGGTAACTATTTGAAGACTTTCCTTATGATTCTGTATTGTAAGGTGTTGAAGCTAATATCAAGGCTACTTGTCATAATAAAAACTTAATTAACTGCTTTGACTTTCACCCAGAAGAAAACACCATTGTGGAGAATAACGGCAATATTTAAGTGTCTCAGGTTGCAATGTCAAAACATTTTAACAATCCTGGATAGAAGTGTATAAAAAGCAAATTCCTCTGATGTTCTACAATAACCTGATTTATTTAAGTCTTCACAAATCACTTTTCTCTCTTCTACTCATTCACTACTATGGAAACTTTGTTGGAGCAGGAACCCCGAGCCGATCCCAAGCAAGGTGATATATCATGTGCCTAATCGTACATCCCTCTAGATGTTCATACATTTTCAGGACTCGAGAGATAAAAGAGAGAAAGGTGAAAAACAGGGAAAAGATCCAACAGCTTGTAAAATAAACAGCCAGAATCAGTGAAATTCATACACAACGACAACATCAAGATTGTGCATGTTGATTCTACAGCAAAAAAGAAGAAAAAATCAGGAAGATATGTATGAAATAAAGAAAGACCAGCTTGTGACTATCCTGATACAGTATATTTATATCGCTTGTCAGATCACAGACACAGATACAACCTCTGACAGATTGAAGACACTAAAGAAGACAATGCCAGCAAACTTGCCTTTCGACTTTAAGAAATGGACTGTGGAGCAAATTGTGCAGTACCTTGAACAAGAAGAACTTGGACAATTGGCAAATAAATTCAAAGGTTGGTTTTCTGGTTTGGTGGATTTAATTAAAGCTAAATTATAATCTCATGGTGTAACCTAGATAAATTAGGAAGTTAGAAACTGCTTTAACTAAGGACTTTCCCTATGATTCTGTATTGTGAGGCATGGAAGCTAATATGAAGGCTACTTGTCATAATGTAATACAGGACAGCTATTAACTGCTTTCTCTTTTACACAGATAAAGACTTCACTGGTGACAAACCACAAACTCTAACAGCTGACAATCTGAAGGATATGGGCATAAAGTGAGTGCCTCCCCTTGTTAAACCACCTGATTGTACAACCATCTGATTTCTTTTAGTTTTCACACCTCACTTTTCTCTCTTCAACTAATTCCCTATTATACTCTTCTGTATTTTCTTTTTTTCGTTTTTCGAGGAAACCTAATGATCGTGAGAGAATCCTGCTCTGTATCAGGAAGCTCTGGGAAGTCCAAGGCAAGGTAATATATGTGTCTAATTATACATCACAATACATTTCCATACATTTTAAGGACTGGAGAGATAAGATAAAAAAATCAAGAGCTTGTAAAATACACAACTAAAAGATTCCAAGATCAGTGAATAAACCTAATCACAAAGTCAAAATTGGGCTTGTTGTTTGGACAGCAAAGGAGACGTGGGGAAAAATAATTCAGGAATATTGACGTATCAAGTAAAGAAAAGGCTAGCTTGTGAAGCCCTCAGGAGAACTGGAGTTGGTTTACTCTTTTGGGTAATAACTGGACTGGATTTTGTTGTATGTGTTCTACAGGTGTTTAATGATCCCATCCACGGGCATATAGAGTTACACCCACTTCTTGTCAAAATCATTGACACGCCTCAGTTCCAGAGACTACGGAATATCAAGCAGCTCGGAGGGGCCTACTTTGTTTACCCTGGAGCATCCCACAACCGCTTTGAACACTCAATTGGGTATGTTTGCAGATTTATTTTTTTAGATAGACACAGGTATGTGTTTAATAAAAACATGGTGCACATGTTTATAGGTATAATAGTTCAGTATATATTTCATATATACACTTTTCTATTTTTGCAACAGGATACAGTAGTAATTGTGTAATGAGTTCTTTGTCGTGTGTTCTGTATATGGTGGTAAAGGGTGGCGCATTTAGCAGGACAGCTTGGACAAGCTCTGAAAACAAAGTAGCCAGGTCTCAACATCACTGACAGAGACATCCTCTGCGTACAGATTGCTGGTCTTTGTCATGATCTCGGTGAGTGAGGCACACCTTTAGAAATTGTCAAATAAAAGTCAATGTTGATCTAATTTCAAGGGTTTCTGTAGGCACTAACAATTAAAGGCTTGTCTGAACTAACAGCAGACAATACAAACAAAGTGTGCTGTGGTCCACATGATATTGTACATTTCTGTTCTTCAGAATATTTTTCTTATTTCAGTGATGATTCAAACTCAGCATTCCTGTAGATGTTTTAGATTAAATGTCTAACAGATAAGTCCTTTAGTGCAAAATACTTGCAGGAAATGTTGAATTCCTTTCACATTCAACATTAAATCGTATTGAATGGTAAAGTGGAAAGTTTAAAATGTATTCTTGAAAAGAACTAGTTCATATTACATGTTGTTTGACCATTTCAGAAGGAAAAAGTGTTTATAGTTGTTCCAAAGGACCATACTTGATGCAAGGTCGCAAGATGATGATGATTGTTGAAATATAAAATAATGGCACAAACTTCAGTCTCTCCTGTAAGGCATTCATAGTGTTGTACACACACAACAAAGTAACTCTCTTGTTTACGCATTCACTACCAATAAAACACCCAATGCTATAGAGAGCAGTAAATTAAGATTTTATACAATGATCAAAGTCACGTTTATCACAAACAGGAAACAGTTCATCTTTTAAGAAAATTCTGTTGAAATTTGTGCTGATTTCAAATGGAAACTTGGCTAGAATTTTAATCTAACACAGCTGAGTTTATTAAAACAGTTAAACTTGGAGGAAATGTTGAATTTGCATTATCAGCGAACAATAATGAAAGCAAATGGGAGAACATTACGAAACATGATCAAATGTACTTAAATAAGAGGTAAAGGCCTGCCTTTAATACAAACCTGTTTAAAATAATAACAATAAGATAAAATCACAAATGGCACATTTTACAGTTCACACACAATCACCTTTAGATTAACTTCAATTTATTTCTCCATATCTAGGACATGGGCCATTTTCCCATCTGTTTGATGCAATGTTCATCCCTAGAGCACGTCCAGGCAAGGAGTGGAAGGTAAGAAACAATTATTTCTGTTGTTCATGACATATAACATGACAAAGGAAAACACAGCCATGAGCTGCATTAAGGAAGCAAATCAGTTAGATATAAATGGTAACTAATTAGCAAAGACACAAACAACAAGTCAGTGCTTAGTTGTTAAGCTGCAAGCAAAAAAGCCAACATAATGGCGGATCATTTATTTGTGAGCCCAACTGAACACTGAGATACGGTTTAAAAAAACAAATCATCTGATTTCATCTCAGGCATAATGGATAATAATGGCATAATGCAGTCTCTTTAGGTACGGATATCTTCATGGTTATTTTCTCAGACAGGAGAGAAACAGTAGACATAGGCTGAGTAGCACTAACTGTGACTAGTGAACTGATCTTAATGTGTAGAATTTGTTGCAGTCCCCTTACTTTGAAAACATAAAGACCAGGTGAGATGAAAAATGTCATTTTAACCCTTTAAGTATGCATCCTCCGTTATATTGTACCCCTATTTAAGACTACATGCCAAAATCATCGTTTCTTACTGTAAAACAAAATGTGACACGTGCTTACGTAAGCATAAAATAACTGATTTCAACCAACAATATCATGACATTCACCTGTCAATAAAGCTTCAACTTTTAGTGACACAGAGCGAAGATTCATGAGTTAGCTAGCTAGCAAAAGCATGGCTAGCTACCGGAGCCGAGTGATTGTTCCAGTGAGAATAACATCTCTGGTAGTTTGGTGACATGTGGCGACATTTTGTGCGTTTCATTTTTAAAAGTAAACATATCACTTTTAAAAATGATTCATGATTAATAATGATTAATGATGATGATAAATAATGATTATCCAGGATCACAGATGCTTTTTTAAAAGCAGACGGACACATCTGGATTGAAGGTACAGGAGAGAACATGTTCACTCTCTCCACAGCCATTGATGACATGGAGGCCTACACTAAGCTGACAGGTCTGTAGATAGCACTGGGACAAATCTGATTCTCTAGCTGTAAGAACACGTGTTTGTTTGGTAAATCTTTATAATAAAAATCATAAGCAATTGTAAAATATGTCATTACAATCGCAATACGATTTTTTAATTAATTAATTCACATTTTATTTAGCTGATTTTCTGAAGTTTGGTTAAAATCTGTGCTATATTTTGATGAAAACCTAGTAACTAACAGTTAGGCTACCTAGCTTATTATTGAGAAACTAACAGGTATATTGCATTAAGAGGTAATAAGTTTTGTTGGAGTTGTTGGAGTTTAAAACTCATGTAAACGCTATCAAATCTAATAAAGAGCAGGACAGTTGTAAACATTACCCTAGAATTTGACACAGTAGCAACTACAATCATGTGAATATGCATATAAACACAATGGTTAATCCATTTTCTCCACATTTCCTCAAGTTTTTAAAAATCATAAACTGGGTATTGCTTCTACTATTGTCTCATGCACAAAGCAGGTGCAGAACTCCAAAACCTGACAGACTTGCTGTGTCCACTTATTTACACTTACACGGTTTCTGTTTGGTGGAGTTCAGCAAATGTTCAATTGAGAGTAGAAGCAACTTGCTGAAGTTTTGAAGGCATCTGTTTCTGATTGAAACATATTTTAAATGACAAATGACAACAGGTCGTGTAAAGGTTGCAATGAATGATAAATGTACACGCCAGATTGATACAGCTCTTCACAAGCAAGCTTAAATAAAGTTAATTTATTTCATATTTAAAAACAAATGAATGAGGTAAAGTAATCTTGTCCCAGTTATGCTGTCTCTCAGGTAACCATGTCAGTTTTAATTTGAGAAAAACTATGAATGATTTTGTGACCATGTCTTTGGTTTGGTTTGGTTTAATTCACTGATCTTCCACTCTCTTTATGTTTCTCTGTAGATGCTGTGTTTGAACAAATACTCAACTGTTCATCTCGGGCACCCCAGGAGCTGAGGGATGCAAGAGACATTCTACGCAGGATCATCAATCGAGACCTCTACAGGTTTCTGGGTGAAACGCGGTTTAAGGTTCCCACTGAGGTTTGTACTAATGTCTTTGTGTGCCTTTATTGCATTACACTGTCTGTCACATCATCTATTTCTCTGTTATAATGAAGTTGGATGTTATACTCCTTTTGTGTGCACATTCCTTGTTTCTGTTTTCTCTATCTTTTTCTCATTGCTTATATGGATATTGTGCTTGGATTTCACTTGGACTACAACACATTCCTACCATTTACTTACATTTGAATTTAGAGGATGTGATAGCAGTGTGAGCAAAATCACAGAAAGAAACTTACTCACTTACTGCATCTACACTGAGCTGGCAGTTTTTTGTGTGAAAATGACTCACATTCACACTCCCATACAGGTCATATATTTCATAGAAACTTCTGCCCACAGGTAAACAGTAAAAAAGGAAAAATCTCTTCTTCATCATCTCCATCACCTTTTTAGTTGGCAAACAACAAAATTGCACATCACAGCCAACACCTGGTGATGTGTTGGACAGACAGCCCAGCTGACAAATACTCCTTGTGATGCTGTTTTAATGCAGCCAATATTGTTGTCACTTAATATTTTCCTGTACTGGAATGAGTATGACATAAATATTACACCTCTGTGGCTCCGGAGGTAGAGCAGGGTTGATGATTTGATCCTCAGCTCCTCCTGTCAATATGTCAAAGTGACCTTGAGAAAGACATTGAATCTGAAAGCCCTCGTTAGCCGTGTTAAGATCAAAAAGCTCCATGTACACTGCACAAAATTATCATGTGATCTAGTCAAACACACACACAAACTCCCTGACTGAATAAAACTGCACAGATTTTCCTCACACACACTACAAGATTTAAATACTCTGTAGAAAGTTTTGGAATAGCTCCACGAATTCTGTTTTAGTGTGGACAAAGAGCCAAAACCAAAAACAAAGATTAAAATGTAACTGCTGAATGCGACTGTAGTCCTACAGTGTGTTGTTAAGATGCAATAAATCTCAAACCTCTTGTCCTCCCACTTCTCACCCTTTCTCCTCCCTTCCTAGGAAAACATTTCTGCTAGGAAAAAGGAATTGGCTGAAGCTCTCGGGCTGACCGAAGATGACTTTGAGATTGTGGTGAGTTTTCAGTCTAAAACTTCTCTTTTCTTTAAATGTTTATCTTAATTATCAGTTAATTTGTAAGATGTTGTCTTCCTCCATTTTAGCATAATTTTATTTGAGAATATGAAAACAAGCTTCTCTCCCACATTTCTCTGTTAGACCATTGAAATGGTCCAAAACTTAGGAGGCAACAAAAACATTTTCATAACTTTACTAACACACACACACACACACACACACACACACACACACACACACACACACACACACACACACACACACACACATACAAACTCACTGACTGACAAAAACTGCACAGATTTTTCTCACACACACTACAAGATTTAAAAACTCTGTAGAAAGTTTTGGAATAGCTCCACGAATTCTGTTTTAGTGTGGACAAAGAGCCAAAACCAAAAACAAAGATTAAAATGTAACTGCTTAATGCGACTGTAGTCCTACAGTGTGTTGTTAAGATGCAATAAATCTCAAACCTCTTGTCCTCCCACTTCTCACCCTTTCTCCTCCCTTCCTAGAAAAAAGGAAAAAATCCTGGTTGGAAAGAGGAATTGGCTGAAGTTCTCGGTGGCGGGCTGGCCAAAGATGACTTTAAGATTGTGGTGAGTTTTCAGTCTAAAACTTTTCTTTAAATGTTTATCTTAATTATCAGTTAATTTGTAAGATGTTGTCTTCCTCTATTTTAGCATAATTTTATTTGTGAATATGAAAACAAGCTTCTGTAACCCTTTTTGGTGGAGTTACAAAATATATAAGAAGCTGTAGTGAACAAATTTGATATTTATCTATGGCTAGTGAGATCAGAAGCTCTAGATACGACTACAGAGCCAAGGATGAACCAAACAACACCCAGGAACAACTCAGATACTCTCCTTTGAGAAAGAACTACTCTCCCCATTTAATAAAAAAACAGGGAAGGATTAATAGAAAATACAGTTATACAGTATACATTGTATTATACAATTCTTACCCGGGTAAGTATAAAAATAGAAAAATAAAAAAAGAATTCACAGCTGTATCAATAGTCTTTTGGATTCAATGTTCAATTTAACTCCTTCAACTCAATCACTTAGTCCTTGCAGCAGATAATACTGCTCAGTCCACTGGAAAAGTGGCAACTGTTTGTCCTACCGCACTGTTGAATGCGTTGACGGTGTGTGTGGAAGCAACGTTTCTGGGGTTCAGGGTTCCAATCTTCTGCATGCAATCGAGTCTCTAATTCTTTTCCATTGGGCCGTAGTTCGCCATCAAACATCCAAGCTCCAACTCCAGGTAGGTCGGGAACTCTCGGGATCCACAAAAAACCTGACCTATTGTGAATAAGGTCAGAACATTCAAGCTCCTAATCAGTACACCACATAAAAGTTAGAATACAACTTCTAATTTCCCAGATTATTCTCTAAATTACCAGAGAATAACTCATGAAACATTGCAAATGGGTTTCACAATTATTAAAGATCAATTTATGTCATAATAAAATCCAAATGTTAGAGAATTAAGGTTACTGAAATAACCTCTCTCAAAATTAATTATAAACCAAATATTTCCTCTTTCACATATTCACATTGACCTTCACATATCTCAATTGGCATAAAATAATAACAATATAATAATAAAAGGAAAACAGATGCTGTGTGCACCCTCTGCCCTGCAACAGCAGCCTACAGTAGAACCTACAAAATAATTTAAGTGCAGCTTAAGGCCCTTTAAGTCAATATATATATCAATTTTTATAGTTTTTCTGTCTTTGTCTCATGTGCTGTGTGTCTCGATGGTTGCTCTCGCTCCTCACTTCTCAAGAGAAGGAAACCTCACGTGTGTAGGTCAACTAGCTGACACCTGATTGGTCGGATGAGCCAGCATCTCGACATGCAAAAGGCTAATGAAACAAACAGGAAGTAGACTGTAACTGCTTAATGCGACTGTAGTCCTACAGTGTGTTGTTAAGATGCAATAAATCTCAAACCTCTTGTCCTCCCACTTCTCACCCTTTCTCCTCCCTTCCTAGGAAAACATTCCTGCTTTGAAAAGGGAAATGGCTGAAGCTCTCAGGCTGACTGAAGATGACTTTGACATTAGGGTGAGTTTTCAGTCTAAAACTTCACTTTTCTTTAAATGTTTATCTTAATTATCAGTTAATTTGTAAGATGTTGTCTTCCTCCATTTTAGCATAATTTTATTTGAGAATATGAAAACAAGCTTCTTTCCCACATTTCTCTGTTAGACCATTAAAATGGACTATGGGAAGAAACACAAGGACCCCATCGATCACTTATATTTCTACAGCAAGCATGACACTACCCGCGCATTCAAGAAGAAGGTCAGAACTAAAACGATGATGACAACAGTTTTAATTTTAGTCTTCCTTTGCATTACATCCCTCTGTTGTCATTATTCTGAAATGTATGCTGCTTTCAGCATTGTCAGGTGTCCAGGATTCGCCCAACGTGCTTTTCTGAGCAGCTGGTCAGGTTTGTCTGTAAGAAGGCTGATCCGAAGGCTGACGAGAAAAAGTTTAAAAAGTGGTGCAAGGCAAAGGACTTTCCAGAGTATCAGGTAATCTTATAAATAAGCTGTTAAATATATGATCTTGTAGGTATTATGTGGGAGTTTGTGTAGCCTAGGGCTGTAGCCACTGATTACTTTCATTATTGTTTAATATACCAAATATTTTCTTGATTAATTGACAAATATAGTTTGGTTTATAGATGTAACAATTTCCTTAAGCCCAAGGGGGTGTCTTATAAAAGCAGTCAGAAAACTCAAAAATTATTGATTTACTTAAACATAAGACAGAAAAACAGCAAAGCTGGATCTAGGCAACATTTTTGCTTGAAAAATGACTTTTAACTATAATTATAATTGTTTATCAAAATAGTTGCCCAACTTCAGTTATGTATCTCTCACTCTGAACTGAACTGCTCTTGGTAATATTGATGCACTTGTCTGTGCAGGATGACAAAAATCAATCTGAGCCTTTGGAAGATGGACATCAAAACTGAAAACAAGCAAACACTCCCTGGTACTCATTGGTTCATGATTGAAAATGATTTAAATATTATATAAGGTGAGTATGTTAATGAGCACAGAGTCTTCTTTATAAATGAGAATGCATTTGCATATTCAGGCCCTGTAGTCTGGTCTTTTAGAGGCCTAATCAATATTATACATGTATCTGTGGTTCAGTTTGATCATTTTTAAATTAGTTTGATTTTAGACTCCTTTCATAATCTAAAGCTGTACGTGTCTGATTTTAAACTGAATCACTTCTTAATAGCATGTTGTTACTAAAAACATACCAGAAACATACTATTACTCTGTTGTGAACAATCAATCATGGTTACTTAAAATATCTTTGTGTGAAACTGAATATGTACACAGTACGTTTCACTTATTTATTCATTTATGCGTCTTCATGTATTGTGTGTATTCCTTATGATTGGGGCAAGCTGCAAAGCACTTGCCAACATATATAATGGAGTTTGTCATTTAAAGTTTAATTTGTGGTTAAGGGATTTCAAATATTTTGGTTTTGATGTTAATCACGTGAATTAATGTGGAAATTTGATTAGATATTATTATGACTGAGTGTTTGATTTGAGGTAGTTTCTTGTGGTGGTTATGAATCCAACGATTGGCTGTATCTTTCTTGAACCACAGAATTTATCTTTACTTCTTCAATGTTGATTTTTTTTCATTTGTTTTTAAATATCTCTTTTATTGGTGACATATTTTATCATATTTTGGTCTTGAATTATTCTACCTTTTGAAACTGGCTCTTTTTTTAATGTAACCATCTGTATGCATGTGGTAAATGGAAAATTATAAATATATAAACATATTCTAAATATGTAATGGGGCTATAAAGGGAAACCTACCAGAGACAATTAGAAGCTTTAAACTTTATTCCTAAAGTTGATAATAGATTGTTCTCTACTTGAAATAAAACTATTTTTTCCTCTTCGTTGAGTGCCCTCGTGCAGTTTAATTTGTCACACACTAGAGGACATCATACACTCTCTTGTGTTTTGCTGCAGCTATCCCCAACCCCATGTAATGTGTCTAATATACACATTGTTTGTACAGTAACAGGTGATATGGAACCCTCAAGACAATTATTTTTCTGGTATTGTGTACACAAGATATTATATTGAGGCACAAGTGATGGTCACCCATGAAACAAGTAGTTTTTTTTTTTTATCATATAGTCATATAAATCATACGAATTAAAAGGCAAAATGTGCTTTTAAATGTTCATCAAATGGCTTGAGGGAGTGGTTTGCCTGGCATGAAATGAGATGCTTATCCATGGTGATGTAGAAGCTGTCGATCCAGTTCTTCAGATGCCTAAAGCCTCTTATACACTTGCCGTTCCGAACCTGTCGCGCGACAATGTGAAGTAGATCTCAAAGCAGAAACAGGAAGATGGACGAGTTCGAGGGCAAGCTTCCGAGAAAGTGCGCCTCTACAGGCATCTGTACGATCCTTCAATGAAGGAATACAGATGCCCAGAGGTGCCAAAATTCATGGCGATTTATCGCAATGTTGGAAAAGAGGAGGCCATATGCCGGAAAATTTGGTAGAACCTCCGCGACTGATTTGGAGAACAAAAAAGAGGTCTGCCATTGTTTACCTTTTTCTTCTTCTTGTAGTGCGTAGAAATAGTAAAGTCGGTAGCCTTTCCTCAGTTGCGACACCTCTGTTCAGGAGAAGACTGTAACTAGTGTCGCGACCACCACACGCAAGTATAAATAGTTACGGCGCTCCCGTGACGTCACATTGTCGCGCTACAGGTTGGGAAACGGCGAGTGTATAAGAGCCTTAACAGTGAGGAGGTGTGGTTGTTGATCCTGCTGGATGCGGGAGATGATCCTCCAAACTGTAGCATGACTACGGCTGAGATAAGGAAACAAAGAGAGAGATCATTATTGAAGTGATTACTTAAACATTTCAAGTAATTCTAAACATTATAATAACATATTTTCTGTAGATGTTTTATTGTGCATACTGCAGTTCACAGCACCAATTGTTTCAGTAAGTTGGACTTAATTGCACTTACCGTGTAGAGCTGCACGAGTGGAGGGAAATGGTGCCAACTTGTCTCCAACCAAAAAAGTGAAATGCGTTTCTTCCGTAATTACATCTAAGCGGAGTTGGGCTAACACCAGAGAGCGTTTTCCAACACTGATGTTATCAACTCTGTGAAATAACTCCAACACTGAACAACATTTACAAGAAAGAAAGTGTTAAAATTACACTTTGGGAGTGAAAATCAACTCAGAAAACTGTCTATGGACACTACTCTGCAGTACAGTGGGTACCGGGGATGCAACTCTTATGGTCCTAACTGGAAGCATATACGCCTACAAATGGTCTAGTCTGTCATTAAATGCCACAGGAAGAAGAACATGTTGAAAACAGCGACAGGTACAGGTGATGTACTCACAAAGCTTTCGTGCACAGTGCTCCGTCATCAACTCTCTCCGCTTGGCTGCCTGTAAGTGAGCTTGCGGTCGGGGCAGAGCTCCTGCTCAATCCATTGCTTTCTTTATGAAGTCTTCATGTACTTACTTGTAGAGGCTTTCTACCACAATCCGAAGAAATGCAGGTCAGTGTGAATACGGCTGTCTGACCAGCCTCTAATGAAAAACCCTGTCAGGTAGAAGCAGTTTGGACGCCTGTATAGCTCACCTGGTAGAGCTGGCCCCCATGTACTCAAACTCAGAGTCCTCGCTGCAGCAGCAGGCCCCACCCCAACTAGCATTAGCCTTTTGCAAGATTTCTTGGTATTACACTGATAATACTGTGGCAAAAAATATATATGTATGGATATTTCCTTACTTTTATCAATGCAAAAATATCTACAATTGTATTTTAAATCTTGAATCATTCCATTAGATTCAATATTTCTGTTTGCCATTATAATACACTGTTTTCTGTATAATTTTATTGTACAATAACCCTAGTACTCTTAATGAAACCGTCCATTACTTATTTTCCATTGCTGAATAGTCAGTTTCTATACTGTCATATCCACCCATGTACAAGATACCTTTAAGTGAAATATTTATTTCAGCATCCTTTGCACTCTGCACCATTGCACTACTGTCTACTGTATACAAATGTTTGTTTATAGATATGTATAACTGTACAAATGAGTCTATGTCTTTTTTGTTGAACTTCTGTTTATTTACACTGTGAGTCTGGGATTGTACATTGAGAGCAACATCCCTTGTATGTGCACACATACCTGGCCAATAAAAGTGATTCTGACTCTGATTCTCACTTTAGTTTAGCGTGGGAAATATGATTTTAATACAATAATAATAATATTATGATGATGGCCCCTTGGCTCTGGCCGCCCCTGTGGCAGGCTCTGCATTTTGTGACTTTAACTTCAAACACTTGGACAGCTAAAATGCTGTGCTACCACTTTAACATTTTCCATTCATCTGTAATGCTCTTTCCTGTGCACAGTTTAAAGTCTAGTCACACAGTGTTAGATGTAAAAGTGAAGGTTAACTCACAGTCCGACTCACCGAAGAGCAGAGCTCACGTCCCGGCCACGTGTGCTCAAATAACCTAACCACACTTAAAAACCCGCGGATAGAAATGAGCAGTTTCTTTTTGAAAGAGCCGGTTCTGCTACGTCGTCGTCACTGGACGTAATCCCGGGTTTCTGCGTCAACACCGCGGCCCCATCAGCTGCACTGTTTTTGGCTCCACCCTCGAGACCTGCGTCAAGTTAGCTAAACGTAGCACGTCATGTACCGGAAGCAAGGTTGTTTTTACTTGTGAAATAAAATGATGACCCATATTCAAAAGAGAGCTGAGGTTAGCGTTTGGGCTAATTACTCAAAAACTATAATTTATTACTCATTACACTTTTCAAAAGTAATATTGTAGTTATTAGTTACTCTACTATTTATATTACTTTTCTGCTACTCCCCACAAATTGTACCCCGTCTCCAGTTTTGCTTGTTAAAATCAAAGTAATGGGAATATTTCCAGCTTCTGAATATAAGTCTTTCCATCTTCCAAGTACCCAATCATGCGTATTATCTAGTTATCATTAATAATTTATAACTTTTGTTATACGACAATATTTAAAAACTCACTGCATTTATGTCGGTCACATACATAGCATATATTTTATTACTATAGGGTACATAGGCTCTTATTATATTTCCATTTTTATTCTTTACTTATATGTATATACCTATATATACATTTCTATTCTCTATATATATATATTGTGTTAGATATTTTAAGTATTATTTCTATTCTTTAACAGCGTGTGAGCCCCTTGATCAATAAAATATTTCTGATTCTGATTCTTATTACAAAAATGTATCCAAGGATGAAATTGGATGGTTGGATTTCAAATTAGTAGGAACCAACTAAAGAAATTACTGAACTAATTGTTTTTTGGGAGGGTAACTGTAATATTATTGCTGAAATTCATTAGTAATTAGTCCCACTACTAGTTACTGGGAAAAGTAATCTTATTACTGTAAGACTATCACTAGTAATGAGTTACTGCCCAACACAGTTACTGATGCTGATGCAGCTCAGGTAAAACAACATGGATTTTGTTAGTTTGTTTCAAATTTTATGTACAATGGTGACGTAATTACAATGCAGGGATTAATAGACACTTATTTAGACTGTTGTCCATTGCAACATGGAGCAAAAAAATAGCAAACTTTTCTCTAAGAGCTCCCTGCACATGCTTTTGTGTGAGTTTTATTAATGTTTACTTTGAAACATGCTATCTGGTACAATCAAGAACTTTAGTACATGCTGTGAAAATGGTGTATTGTTGTTTTTTTTCCTCATCATTTGTTGTATTCAGGGTCACCACTGAGGTCATGTCTCTCTTGTTTTATGATTTGAACCGGGGGATTTTGCACTTACACTTGGTATAAATTAGATTGACTTATTCCAGTATTTTCAGATACAACAATAATATCAAATATATATATCAATTATTGTGTATTTCCCCATCAGATATGTATTCTTGCAGCTTTTAAACAACATTTTGCCTTAATGTTGCGGAATAAAATATACGTACACAATATAACTAAACATAAAATGAATGCAATTAAACAATACTATATGAATTTTTTTGGGGGGGAGTGGGAGGGCGGGTAACTCATGACCCCAGGATTTCCAGCCCATGTCATCATATATGCTAAAACCCCTTATTCTATTCAGCACTAAGTACTGGGCTTTCGAATACAGTTGGTTTCAATCGACTTTTATTTTGAAAACTGTAGCCGGAAACGTTGTTTGCGTTCCGGTTCAGCTTGACGCAACCAGTCTGGAAACAAAACCCGGGGTTTTTTCGCCGCTTCTGCTTTTTCTGTGCAGAGCTACTCGATCAGCTGTTGCAGTCGACCTCGGAGACATTGCCGGTTAGAGTTCAGCGTTTCTCTTCTCTTCCGATTAACCAAAAAATACCACCAACATGGATAACCGAAAACGACCGTTAGAGGCGGTTGAGTCCGATAATGACCGCTTCAAAACACCGGAAAAAAGAGTGTCGGTGGTCCGGCTGCAGGACTCGGACTACATGCGATGGGAAGTGGAGGAAACGTGTCGGTACCTGCGAAGAGAAGGTCTAGGAGAATGGGAAGACACATTTAGAGGTTGGTTTTCAGGTTAAATGTCAAAAGTAGACCCGTTTTCATCTCATTGTTGGTCTAAATACAGTCAGCTGAGAGTTATTATTATTATTATTAGGCTACCGCTAACTTGCTGCCCCCCCACCATGTGTGCGTTGTGACATACAACCCCAGTGGGGTAGTTTTGCCTGAAGAAGAGGTCCAGCAAACATCCTATTCTTGCATATTTAGCCTGAAGTGTTTGCACATTGTCTCTTAACTTCTGCTGCTCTAATCCAGGCAGCAAGGGTCATTATGTAATTCACATTAACCACAGAAGAGGAGCAGATTCATGCAGTCTGTACTGGCTCACAGACAGGTGAAGCAGCTACATGAAATTGTGCATTTTGAGTGAAGTATCTGTTAGTCCTTACTCCATCCACTCATGGAAACTCATGTCATGCCTTCGCCATCCTAGGAAACAGGAAGCTGTCTGTACCCTGCACTACACCACCTATAACCCTGAATCTAATGTTTCCTCTGTTATCCAGCACAGAAAATCACAGGCGTCGGGCTGCGATATCTCAAGGATGCCGATCTGGAGAAGATTGGTGTAAAGTAAGTGTCTCCTCGAAAATGGCCTAGGACACTGTGGGGTAGGAGGAAATGTGACCGAAGCCACTAACGGTAGTGTTAAAGAAGGCAAAGCCCTCATAACCCTGTGCTACTCTAATGTTTCACTTCATTTTTTCCATTTTTATCCTAACCAGGTGCCTTGGTGACCGTCTGCAGATCCTACACAGCCTCAGGAAGCTGTGGCAGATGGAAACAGAGCAAAATAAGGTATCAGTAGTATCACAGTGCTACACTCTCAAGGCTCTATAGAGATATTAAAGACATAATAGAATAAAGCAGAGGAACTTGTTGGATAAACAGGAAGGACGTGGGAAAAGATATGAGGGTGCATGTAACGATTGTTGTCCTTAAGCTTTGTTCTCAGCACTCAGCTGACAAAGCTTACAAGCTTGAAAACCAGTTGTTAAAGGGGAAGACTGCGTGGTATGAACTGAAGAAAGACTAGTTCTTAGAGCCCATGAACTGAAGAAAGACTAGTTCTTAGAGCCCATGAACTGAGTCTGTTTGTGTTTGTTTCCTGTCTTCTGCCAAGGTGTTTAATGACCCCATCCACGGGCATGTGGAGCTACACCCTCTTCTCATCAAAATCATTGACACGCCTCAGTTCCAGAGACTACGAAACCTCAAGCAGCTCGGAGGGACATACTTGGTTTTTCCTGGAGCATCCCACAACCGCTTCGAACACTCCATAGGGTATGTTAGTCTGTATTTAGTATCATGAGGCATCATTGCTTTGCTATTAAACGCACATATATAGCAGTAAAACCATAGTGATGGCACAATAAAACTCAAGTTGTAATATTTTTGCGCTCATAGACCAACATTAATTGGTGAGGCCAGACTCTGAGTCTCCAAAGTTACAACAACCGTTGTACAATAAAAGTTGGCTCACTAACACAATCTCAGTCATCATTTAATTAGATGCTGTATTTTATCATGCTGAAGTGGCAATCTGTTGATAAGAAAGTGATGATAATTGACGTGCACTTTGATCGCAATCCTCCCGTTCCAAAAGATTGATTGATATGATCACACTGTTATTTCCACATACAAAAAAATCTATATTTTGTGGTGTTTTCATTGTATAACTTGTGATGAATTAGTTGTGTTGTTGTGTGCTGGTACAGGGTGGGTTACTTGGCAGGACGACTGGTACAAGCTCTGAACGAGAGGCAGCCAGAACTCCTCATCTCTCGAAGAGACATCCTTTGTGTGCAGATTGCTGGACTGTGCCACGACCTAGGTGAGTGGTACGCGGGTCCTCACACTTGAGGTTTGAACTTCTTATACCGGTTTCCACCAACGCAAAACTAATGCTAGTTCTCTAGCTTGTTCAACTTGGGAACTTTCTAAGAACAGGTTTTGCTTTTCTGCGAACTAGAGAGCCAACTTAAAGCCATGATGTCACTACACGTTACCAAGGTTACGTTAGTTAGGTAGCTGTTGGTCAATTACGTTAGCCAAGCAATCAGCAATCAGTCTGACCCGAAACTTAACATTATAGTTATAAACAAACAAAACACTGATTCTAGACCTGCAGTGTTGGTGCCTCACTGGAACCAGTTTTCCTGGCCAAGAGCAGGTTTTTAGGCTGTCGAAACTGGTTTGAGATTAGGCACAGGCTCCAAACCAGACCTCAAACTGTCTTGGTGGAAAATAGATATTAGGCACTGGGTGTGAGCATGAATGTAGAAGAGAAACTATTTACGATTATTATCCTCTATTTTCCAGATAAGAATAAAGGGTAAAATTCTGACATTATTTATCCATCCCCCCCTCTTTCCAGGACATGGGCCATTCTCCCATATGTTTGATGGGATGTTCATCCCCAAAGCGCGTCCAGGAATTGCCTGGAAGGTAAGAAACTATGTGATTTATATTTATATCTCTTGTCCTTGTACACGGAGAGCCAATGAGTCCAAATAAAACATTAGATGCAGTCTCCTCCAGTCTTCTGACTGACTTCCTCCAGCTAACAGTCTGTGTGTCGCTGGCGAGTTCTGTTGTGCAGATTTTCCAAACGGTTGTTATGATTCATCAAAAAACTATTTGGCCATCGAGGAGATTCAAACAACTACAACACACTAGCCCAGACGTGCACATCAACTGCACTGAGCTACCACAAAGAACAACTGTTTCAAGGGCATCTCAGCTTTGCTCGTATGAACACAACTCTCAAAACTGACTATTTGGTTTGGAAAGAGCGTGACTCCCCCATTCCAGTGCTCTTAAAATAAGTTAGTGGCTGCTTTAACAAACAATTCCCAAAAGAGGAGGCAGAAAAAATGGGAACAACCCGGAAAAGTCAGACTGACCCAAAATAACTACTATCTGAAAAAGTAGTCTTGCGGGAGGGCTGGCTTTTTTTTTTTTTTTTTTTTTTGAGAAGTAACTGAAAAAGGCCTTGAGCTATCACTTACTTACTCACAAACTCCCAGACTGTGCAGACTGTTACATGATCTACTAATAATGAAGTTAACGTAGAGTCCAATAGATTTTAACCTGCAAGTATGCTGGAAAGATCTACCTATCAGACACAAATCCTCTCCTCACATCACTGTAATTCCTTAATAGGTGATGTAGTCTTCAAATACCTACCCACTAAACGCAATGCTTGGCACCAACTATACGGACATTGATTGCCCATCTTTCGTCCTTTCTTTAAATTAGTTTATTTATAGTTATAAAGCTTTGATGACGTGAAGTTACAGCAATAAACAGATTTTTTTTAAGGCAGTTGTAATTACTGATATTCAGGGCTGCTGTATAAAGCCGTTATCGTCACCTGACCTGACTGAGGGATTGCGGCGTTCAGAATGAATCAGTGATAAGAGCTACTAGGCCGACGGTCCTTATGTAAGTTATGACCACAAACCGGCCGTCGGACAAACATGGGAGAGATAAGACGAGTCTTCATGTTTGTGTCCCGTCATGTTGTAACTGAGATAAGCGCTTTCTATTTGAGTAATGCGTCTCTGTGCTTTCATTTTCAGATTGTGGCCATTCGTGTTTTAATATTAATAGAGTGGGTCCGTTTCTTTTGCAGCATGAGACCGCCTCTCTGGCCATGTTTGACTACCTGGTGAAAGACAACGGCCTGAAGCCGGTGATGGAGCAGCACGGCCTGGTGCTGCCCGATGACCTGGACTTCATCAAGGAACAGATTGCTGGACCACTGGTCACTGATGCAGCTGGCCCGAAGGTATCTAGTTCTGACTAAAATTCTCACTATGTCCATCCATTGAAGTGTCCTTGAGCAAGACACTGAATCCAAAGTTGCTCCCTGAGGCGCCCACGGCTCCTAGTGTATAGGATGGGTCAAATTTTGTTTCAATGTATCTAAATGCAGAAAAATAACAACGGCTGAAAGCCTGGAGTCCTAATTCTTCTTCTGTTGTCAGTCATCTCCACAGTGGCCATATAAAGGCCGTCCAGAAGACAAGTCCTTCCTCTATGAAATCGTTGCCAACAAAAGAAATGGCATTGATGTGGACAAGTGGGACTACTTTGCCAGGTAGGACTTGTTGATCTGTTGCATCATAATAATTTTCCAAATCATATATTAAATATTGATATTTTATATTTTATATATAGTTTTTGTTTAATTTCCTATCCTTCCACATATTTCTTCTTCTCTACTCAGGGACTGCTACCACCTGGGCATCCAGAACAACTTTGACTACCGCCGCTTCCTAAAGTTTGCCAGGGTGTGTGAGGTGGACGGGCAGAAGCACATCTGCACTAGAGACAAGGTGCTGACTTTGTTATTTGTGCTTTTTTTTAATCAGCTTTTAAAACCGTAATCCGTTTAGATGATTAGATCTAACTAAAATACTGGTCATTCTTTTAACAGGAGGTGGGCAATTTGTATGACATGTTCCACACAAGGAACTGTCTCCACAGAAGAGCCTACCAGCACAAAGTGGGCAGCATCATAGAGACTATGTGAGTAGCTTATCACTTTAATGTAGCATGTTGTCTTTGCTTCATGATTCAATCTCTAGTCTGGTCTGCAGCAAAATGTATTCAAAAGTGATAGTAATGTTGGGTATGATTATCCAGGATCACAGAGGCCTTTCTAAAAGCAGACAAGCACATCAAGATTGAAGGCACAGGAGGGAAGATGTTCACTCTCTCCACAGCCATCGATGACATGGAGGCCTACACCAAGCTGACAGGTCTGTAGATACCACTGTGTGCTGTGAGGATATAGGCAAGATAGGCAGAATTGCACCATCTGTTAGATCTAATAAAAACAGGCTTTTTTTTTTTTGAACTTGCACTGCCATCGCTTTAGCCCACTTATACTGTCATACAGTTTCTGGGTTTTTTTTTTTTTTCTTCATCCATCAAAATGAAAATGTGGCGCACAACTCTTCTCCAGTACACAATGTTTTATTCACCAAATATTTTCAGCCCTTCTTAAGGGTGTGTTTAGTGGGTATACCAATACAAAACAATAGCTCAGTCATAAATTGTACTTTAATAAAGATTATCATGTTCATTTCACTTGATTGACTGTCAGATAGGTATTAATTAAATTATGTTTATTTGATTTTAGAGGAGAAAAATTACTTTTATGGTGGCCGAATGTTTTGAGAATGAAAAAAGATTTTGCCCCGATATGTCTTTGCGAAGGTACTAAGAAGACTGCTTTCTTAAACAAATGACTTTATTAAAGAATATTTAAGTTAAATAATTTAACATATAGTATTGTCAACCAATTCTAGAAATTAACACTGAGAATATAAACACCAGTACTATAAAAACTACAAGGATTTCTGCATTATAATAATAATAATAATAATAATAATAATAATAATAAATTTTATTTATCTAAATACTCAAAGACACTTTACATAAAAACATAAAAGCAGCAAAACAACATTATATAGCTTACCGGAAAAAACGGTTTCCATATCACTGCATATCAGATAACAGATACGCTGATACCAATATGTCTATGATAGGACAATAATAGGTGATAATATTGGCCCGGCTCTAATGTTTAGTATTGAGGTTGTCTGGTAATTATATTGAGATGTGTTTCTGATGTTTTACCCAGACAAATACTAGAAACACATGTCAGTATATCGTACAACACTACTACTAACTACGGCCTGAATAATAAGTAAACAACCAGAAACGCACTGACAAAGGAGAAATAAGAAGCAACAGCTACAGAGCTATACTAATAAGATAGCCAACGACCTGCTGTCTGTGTGGAAGCCTGAAGGACATCACAAACGACAGGAAACCATCCCCCCATACTGTGGAGAACTGGCTGACAATCTGAATGTGTTATACTGTAGGTTTGATAAGCCCACATTAGCACCGGTCACCCACTCCGACATCAAACAGTCACTTACACACACCCCCACCCCCACCTCAACCTACACTCAGGATCTGTGGAGAGGATCTGTGTCAGCTCTCAGCAGATCAGGAAACACCAGGTCACGACAGCATGTCACCCACTGTTTTTTACCATACTCTCTTTTTATGACATTTCTTTGTATTGAGGTGATTTAAAGTTCTGTTTTATGAGTATCTAGTAATTATTTACACAGTAAATGGTGTTTAAAAAACCAGCAAAGGTTCGCTTTAATTGACCTGTCCCCTACTTATTTTCTATTTGTCCTGCAGATTATGTGTTTGAACAAATACTGAACTCCTCCTCCCCCGAGCTGACTGAGGCAAGGCAGATCCTGCGTAACATCGTCTGTCGACGCCTCTATAAGTGTTTGGGCCAAACCCAGGCAGATCAAACCATCAACGTCACCCAGGTGTGTGTGTTTGGGTCTTTGTATGGTTATATTGTAAGGCTCTCGGCTTGTCACAATATCCATATTCGTATTAGTTGATGAGTTGCTAATAGTTTTTGTTGGGGTTTTTTTATGTATTCAAAGATGCTTTTGAGTTGTCATGTAGTGTAATATTTTATCTTTAATATTTTTTTTAGCAATCAATTAATTGTCAAGTATAAAGACTGTCAGAATATGGGGGAAAAGGCCCTTTTGGTGATGTCTTCAAATTGCTTGTTTTGTCTGATTAACTCAATCATGTTCAGTTCACTTTTATATAAAAAGCATTATATCCTGACTTTTGCAAAGCCGGAACCACCAAATGTTTGGCGGTTTTGCTTGGTAATTTATTTAAACGACAAATGTATTATATCAATAGTCATTATAGATCATTATACAAAAATCCAGGATATTTTGGTAAATAGAAAGATTAGATGCCTGCATGCACATTGTGCCCAGAATTCAATGTAATTATATATATTTGTATTATATGAGGATATGATACCACTCACATCTAATGTCCCTGCTACGATGAAATAAGTTGACTCTTCCACTTCTTGCTCTCTCTCCTCTATAAGGAGAAGATTCGCTCCTGGGAAGAAGATTTGGCCCAAACCATCCCTCAGAGTGGCACCCAGGATGTCAGTCTGCAGCCAGAGGACTTTATAGTTAATGTGAGTTTTTAATCTAATTACTTAAAATGTAATACCTTTGGCTCGTAGCAACAAAATCTTATTTTTGTATTTTTATTACTCCATTTTAAGCGAATGCCTTTCCCTTCTGTGTTTTTTTTTTTACACTGGATCTAAAAATCCTCTCTCTCCTTTTTTAGGTAATTTCTATGGACTATGGGATGAAGGAGAAGAACCCCATCAACAATGTGCGTTTCTATTGCAAGAACAACCCAAACACAGCCATCCAGATTCGCAAGAACCAGGTCAGAACTGAAGACTTTTTAGATTTAAGTAATTTCCCCTGGGATTATTAAAGTATTTCTGAGTCTGATTCTAATGACCACAGAATTTCTTTATCGGTCTTTGCATGAGCTTCTCACAAATTGCTGTTTTTGCCTCACGTGCATTTTCTTCTTAACTTGTAGAAGCTGTTTGTCACTGCCTCAAAATTTACTCTGTGCTGCTGTCATTCTTGTCAGGTGTCTAAACTTCTTCCAGAGCAGTTTGCTGAGCAGCTGATCAGGGTCTACTGCAAGAAGACAGATGAGAGGAGTCTGGACGCAGCAAAGAAGCACTTCGTCCAGTGGTGCATGGACAAGAACTTTTCAAAGCCTCAGGTAATATTTAACTGCTACACTGTAAAGAATTGTACAATCCATCGCAGTAACAGTGTTGACCGTTAAACATGGGGTAGGCACTTTGTCTTCATCCAAAACTGGAGGGACTTTTTAGAACGGAAAAGAAATGGAATAGTAAACGTAGAGCACTGTGTAGCTATGTAAGGCAGTAACAAAATCATAACCTGATTTTAGCATTTCGTTGTTATTCCTCCTCCAGTCCACAAAACATTGTTGGGCCGCAAAGGAAGAATTATGCTACAGAGCCCCAGGATCACTCGCTGAGTTAGGATTGGGAGTTACTGCAATGTTGTGCGTCAGTAATGATACACTCTGATTTCTTTTCACCCAGGATGGAGACATAATAGCACCTGAGTTGACGCCTCTGAAAGCAAGCTGGTCGAACAACAATGAAGGCGAGGATGGTGAAGGTGGCTGCTCCAGAGAAGCAAACTATGCTTGTGTAAACGGACAAAAGAAAGCCAAAATACGGCTTTTTTAAATGAGAGGAAGAGAGCAGACGACCCCTCTGTTACACATTTGGTAGATGAGACAGTGTTGAGTGAAATTTATATTTTTGTATGAGGTGAGTTTGTTGATGAGCACAGCAAAGTTTAAAATCAATATTTGAAATCCAAATTTTTTACACAAAAAGGAAATAATTTAATTGTTTCAATAAGGAGGATTCATGAATGCATATTCAGGGCCTGCACGCAGGGTTTTTACAGACATGGTTCCTCTTCAGTACACATATTTTTGTTTTAGTGTGATCATTTTTAATCTGGTTTTATTTTAGACTCCCCTTTCCATTTGGAGCTGCAAGTGTCACATTTTTAAGTTGATTTATTGTTTAATACCATGTCTATGCAGTAGCTTACTATCATGTATTCACATTATAAACAATAAATCATGGTCAGTCAAAATGTTGTACCCTAAACATGTGCTCACTATATTTCAGGGTGGTTTTTTTTTTACGGCTGATGTGTTTCTTTTATCTGGCTTTTAAAATAAGTATATCATATCTGCAGTCCGTTTGTGACATTTAACATTTGTTTTTAGTTGTGGGATTGTTTAGAAATTTGTTGTGAACTTACTTTGAATGTATTTATTTTTCAGAGGTGTTTGGGGTGACTTTATTTATTGTTCTTACAGTGAGTACCTCAGATTTATCCCTGTTTGTTATAGATATAGATCTGTAACAATTTAAAGGCTATTTTGGATACTATTTAAAGTGTTTTGTGAAACACTACTCTTACCAAAATGTGATGCAGCCTCATCCAGCTTGCCTCATAGCTGTTTTCACTTGATCTGTATAAAAAATATTTTTGAAAGAATGTAAAGTGGGTACTAAAGGGTTTGAGAAGATTGTGTAAATGTTACTCCTCTTGTTAAGGGTTGAAAACTGTCGAAATAAAACACTCTTTCTCAGTAGTGTCCTCCTGTAATTCAACTTGTTGAACACCAGAGGGAAGCATGCAGTCTGTTTAGACCAGAGATGTTTCGGGAAAATATTTTGTCTAGGGGGGAAGTTAGCACTTTTGTGTTGTGACATTCAAGTTTTCAGTTACTGCTCTGTTTGTGGCACATACAAGTTTACAGAGGCATTCAAGTACATACATAATTCCACTAGACACAAAAGATTTGTCCTAATTGAGAATACTTGGATTTCCTTGTGTGGCTTGTTATTGTAATATGAAAATACAAATTGGATCTTAACATGTGGAAATCTTCAAAAACATAACTTAAATAATTTTAGCATGAAGTAGTTGTTGTGTTACAAAAAGTGAATTTTGTACTAAAAAGACAATAACTTTGGAAGATATTCACATGATTTGTCTACTAAATCCTAATGTTAACTTCTGATCAACTCTGGAGTTTATTTTTGCACAAAATGAGGACTGGATTTTGTTCCCTGTCACTTAATGCATCTTAGTGGGGGATATTTTCATCACTAGTATGAACAGGAGAAATGATTACAGCGGGTAAAACCTCCAGGGTGTAACACTGAGGAGGATCTATTGGCAGAAACTGAGTATCATATTATTTGCATCTTCATTAGGGTTAAACTCCAGTTGGCTTGTTGCAGGATGAAGGGAGGGAGCTTCACCACTAGATGCCACTAAATCCTACACACTGGTCCTTTTAATCCTGAAGGGCTTCATCATGCAGCGCCTGATAGTGCCATAATGTTTATATTCAATTCTACATATAATTGCCAGCCTGGCGTTTAGGCAAGTGAATAATGAATTGCAGTGTGCTGGATATAAGGACAAGAATGATGACTGAGGGTTAGATTGTTTTTTCAGCTGTTTGTTGGAGTGGGAAGGTCATGGGTTTAATATGCCATAAAAACTGAGATGTTTTATGCACTTAAAAATAAATTAATAAAATGTAATAAATGTAAGTTATTGTACTGCACACATTTATTGTCACTCTGTTATCTGTAACTTCCTTATTCAAAAACAAGTTATGCAGATTTTTTCCACACTGGCATCAATAAAATAATTTAAACATCCTGGAAAATTTTTAACTAACTACAATAACAGTTATATGCACTGACAGCAGTTCAATAAGATGACTATATACATTTTAAAACATTTCAGCAATCTTTATCTTAAAATCAACAAAACATCACAGCAACTGTACTGGAATATAATTGCACCCATAACATACAAAGATGTTTTATTCAAAATTCATATTTAATAATAAAAAAGAAAAAGAAAATCAACTTAGTCTTAGTGACAGTTTGAAATGTGTTTTCTGATTCATTCCTAACAAAAGTGTAAATAGAAATGACTCCTATGGTAGGAGCTTTGTCCTATCTCTGATTGTATTGCAGTGATATGATGATCATGGCAGCCCCAGAGTCAGCAACACATCATGGCCAGTGACACATTCCAGGTTTACTCCATTTCTTCCATTCTGATAGGGATAAACAAAAATCATCTACAGGTTAAATCATACACATCATCACATTAAATTCTGGCCTGATTGAGTGTTGTTTCTTTCTCTGCATTTTGAGCAATCCTAAAGTCATCATCAGATGTTCACTGTGCAAAGCAGCCATTTAAAAAGGTGGAGGTTTAAAAGGCCATGCAGACTCTTTAGTTTGCATCCTACTTGGTTTTGCAAAATACTACTGAAACTAATATAGACTGACTCAAACCAGCTACTGACCTGAGAGTCTCCAGTTTAAAATGTGGACTCTCTAGGACATCAGACAGCAGATTCACTCTGGATTCCTGCAGGTTGTTTTTACTTAGGTCCAGCTCACGCAGATAGGATGGGTTGGATTGCAGAGCTGACACCAGAAAAGCACAGCCTTCATCTGTGACCCGACAGCTCTTCAACCTGCAGAGATTAGAGGAGTTGTACTATATGATGGTACTTTCCCATTTTTGTGACATTAAGTACAACTACTATGTCAGTGAAGTCTATCAGTCAATATTTCATACCCCCAATATTGTTTTATTACCCCCAGATTAATAAATATATTCATGTAGGACAACAGAGAAGTCAGGAAGACTTTATTTAACACAGACAAGCAGCTAAAATGCAAGTCATCATGTCAAGAAATTGCAGAAGCACTGAGTGCCAGCATCATTCACAAACTACTCTAAATAAAAAAACATTTCTAACTACATAATCCACCACAGCACTTCTCCTTCTTGTTCCCCAAAAAGATAATTCTTGAACAAACATTCTCAGGTTCAATTAGAGGAAAAAGAGATTCCTTACCTCAGAGTATCTAGTCTACAATGCGGACTCTCAAATCCAGCAGACAACATCTTCACTCCTGAATCCTGTAGATCATTTTCACTTAGGTCAAGCTCTCTCAAGCTGGAGGGGATTGACATTAAAGCTGAGGCCAGAGAAGCACAGCAACTCTCTGACAACCAGCATCCCCTCAATCTGAATAAAAGAATAAAGTAGTAATGTATTTAGAGTTTAGAATTTATAAACATTTCATGTTCAAAATTAAACTGAAAAAAAAAAAACAGGAATCCAGGTTCAAAACATTCAGAAACGGCACAAAATGTCCTCGTCTATCATGAAATTACAGGTTCACCTTCACAATACGTGTTGTACAGCCAAGTACTATTATAAATCTCAGAGCCTTATCTGAAAGAAGATACCAAGAGTTCCAAAGATACCAAATACATACAGTGTATCTGGCTAAATTCTCAACATATTTAAATATGAGTTAAAATCTACTCTACTCTGACAAGCTATGGCTTTCAAATTCTGTTGATACATTAATGATTATACTGCAGCCCTATATCATGAGTATGTCCCTAAGGTCCCCTGGTTCCTCACTCCACAAGACATTTGAGGTTGCGGCTCCAAAACATTACAATTTCTAGACACTGCGGACACCTTTAAATTAAAGCAGCTAAAGACTGTTTTGATCTTTTAAGACTTGACTTTGTTATTTAAATTAATTTATATTTCTATTTCATTATATTAATTTGCTTTCTCGTTGAGTTGAACATGACAAGGCTTCTCTGCTAAACCGAGTTTATGGCTGAGGGGTTCCGCTGTTACCTTTACACCGTGCACCATGGTTACATATTTCCATGTCTGTGAGGCACTGAGGTCCCTTCTGATTTTATGTGCATCTAATAGAAATGGCTCTACCATTCAGGTATCTGAACTTAATGAGAAAAGTCGGAATAAAGTACGGAGATTCAGTTGATGCTTTCTCTAACTTACATAGTGCATCGTGTGTACCGCAGTTACAGTATACAGATTTAGAAACAATACAATTACTAAATCCTGTTTGCTGTAAAAGTGGTATGCAGACTACAAGAAACGTCTAAAAGTCTAAAGCCAGTTTTGATCTTTGAATTTATTTATGGACATATGGTTAAATTTAAGAGGAACAATTGTAATCAAGAGTTCAAGAGGTTAATAATAATGACAACATGTTGAAGAATTAGTAACTTGAGAGTGAAATTAATAATTACATTCATCCCTTTAGCACAACAATGCTATGCAGTATTCAATGTGTGTTAAGAATTGTTCATGGCATTAGGTTAGTCAGTCTGGATCACAATACTATTATCATTATACAGATGCATCCAAATTATTGTCAGTGTGATATTGATTTAATATTTATGTTATTGTAAAACTGAAAACACAATGACTGACCTCAGAGCTTCAAGTCTACAATGTGGACTCTCCAATCCTGCACACAGCAGTTTCACTCCTGAATCCTGCAGATCGTTATTACTCACAGCGCAAGTTTTGCATGTGGTCAGGATAGGGTCAACAATTCCCTAGAGTATTGCCTGTCTAAATGGTGGTCTTACCTCAACCTGGCATTCTTAAAGTCATAACTCCTGGTCTGAAAGGTTACTAGAAGTCTGCTCGAGGTATCTATTGTTCTATCTTTCACAGACATAAACCCTTTAACACGTTGACTGCCGACAGTACTGAAAATGGTGAATCAGAGTAATATGAGGACCCACACACACTTTCAGGCAAGCGAAACTTGTAATATGGCAGTGCTCATCTGTGACCACCTGTAGGGAGATAATCACTGGAAAGAAATAGCGCAGTGCTCCATCACTCTCCATGTAGGGGGAGGTGAAGGTGCTAATACCTGAGGTGAGAAACATGTCTAACAGTCTGCAGAACTGATCTGGAGATTGATAACTACTACTTGTACTAACATTTCATTTTACTGCTCAAAAAAACACAGTGTAAAAGCCTATAGAGCCTGTTAGACAAAGTTTATGAGAAATAGAACTTGTCCTTTCTTTTTATTATTACATTATCTTTCAGTCACCAAAAAAAAAAGTTTTCTCATTAAAAGATGTATTATCTATGGGTGTGGACTCACCTCAGAGTTGTCAGTCTACATTGAGGACTCTCCATTGCAGCAGACAGTAGATTTACTCCCAGATCCTTCAGTTTGTTTTTACTGACATCTAGCTCTCTCATATGGGAGGGGTTGGACTTCAGAGCTGAGGCCAGATGTGCACAGCCGCTCTCTGACAGCCGGCAGGAACTTAGTCTAGATAAAGAAGTATAAAGAATGTAGCTATTGAAGGCAACAGTTTTTAATACACTTTCTCTAACCTACTGTTTCATTATCTAATTAGAGATGTTTTAAATATAAAATTCTATAATCTTGCATGCTCAACTCAAAACACCTAAATCCAACAGAGTGCCAGCTTAAAAAAGATACCAGTACTGAAGTTGCCACAGTTTGAAACAACAGTAATAATATATAATTAATCTCTGCACAGAGTCAATAAAATGTCTAACCTCAGAGTCTCCAGTCTACAGTGTGGACTCTTAAGTCCAGTAGACAGTAGCTTCAGCCCTGAATCCTTAAGATAGTTGTTGTTACTTAGGTCCAGCTCTCGCAGACGGGAAGAGGTGGACTTCAGAGCTGATGCCAGATAATCACAACAACTGTCTGACAAACTGCAGCTCTTCAATCTGAAAAATATGATTAAGCACATATATAAAACACATACTTAAATCAGACTGGGTTTGGGTTTAAACCTGTAGCTCAACATTGCTATGCTTTAATCAACAGGTACAGCTACTTATAATAACAGACAAATAGCCGTTCAGTATTTCTGCTGCTACAAGCAGAAAAAAGCATGGGGTTCAAGCTCCATTGAAACAAATCTCGATGCTCTCCTCCTCATAAAGTGAATATGATTACTTGAAGAAAAATAAAGAGTAAAGAGCTTTCTGAAAGTTTTCTGACCTTAGACTCTCCAACCTACAGTTTGGACTCCCCAGTCCAACAGACAGCAGCTTCACTCCTGAATCCATCAGATAGTCATTTTCACTCAGGTCCAACTTTAGTAGATGGGAGGGGTTGGACATCAGAGCTGAAGACAGAACCTCACAATGCCACTCAGAGAGTCCACAACAAGAGAGTCTGCACACAGGATTTAATGCACAGTCGAATTTGTAAGCAAGCAATCTAGACACACAGCTAGAGGTAAACTTTTGGTTATATTTAGCCAATCATAACAGAGTTGCAAATTATTAAATGACCAACATGTGATGAAAATGCAAGGGTCTACTAGCCTTTTCAAATTTGTACCACACAGTTCACCGAAGTCAATATATTAAGCAAATTAAAATTGTATGCTGTATGAGAACATGAATATCTTTACTATAACAAAAATGGCAAAAGGTGTACAGGTAGCTTTACACTACTGATATTCACATCTGGACTTACCGAGCTTCTCTGCAGTTTCTCACAGCTGGGAGCAATCTCCGTCTTCCATCAATTGATGAGTTGTACTTCTTCATGTCCAACACCTCTAGAACCTCTTCTGACATCTGCAGTATGTAGGCAAGGGCTGAGCAATGGGTCTTAGTAAGCTTCTTCTCTGATCTGTTGTCTGACTGCAGGTACTCTTGGATCTCCTGATGCACTGAATGGTCGTTCATCTCCATCAAACAGTGGAAGATGTTGATGCTTCTGTCAGGAGAGATATCATAAGCGTTCATCTTCTTGAGGTTGTTTATTGCTCTCTGGATGCTCTCTGGACTGCTTGCTGTCCAGCCCAACAGATCTCCTAAGAGACGATGGTTGGACTCCAATAACAGGCCATGAAGGAAGCGAACAAAGAGGTCCAGGTGCCCATTTCCACTGCTCAGAGATTTGTCCACAACTTTACTGAGGAAGTTATCCAGACCTGGGTCACTGGTTTGTCCATCCCAGTCTTCTCCCAAGAAAGTTGCCAGAACTTCTATGTTCTTATTCAGGTAACAGTGAATCATGTAGACAGCAGCGAGAAACTCCTGAATACTTAAATGAACAAAGCAGTAAATCATTTTCTGAAAGAGTACACACTCTCTTTTGAAAATCTCTGTGCACAGTCCTGAGAAAACTAAGGCTTCACTGACATCAAGACCACATCGCTCCAAGTCTTCTTTGTAGAACATGATGTTTCCTTTTTCCAGATGTTCGAATGCAAGTCTCCCTAACTTCAGGAAGACTTCCCTGTCAGTCTGCATCAGCTCCTGTGGGATCATGTCATGTCCCTGATCATACTTCTGTGTCTTCCTCTTGGCCTGAACCAGCAGAAAGTGTGAGTACATCTCAGTCAAAGTCTTGGGAAGCTCTTTTTTCTCTGTACTCAACATGCCCTCCAGAACTGTAGCTGTGATCCAACAGAAAACTGGGATGTGACACATAATGTAGAGGCTCCTGGATGCCTTGATGTGTGAGATAATTTGGCCAGGCATCAACTCATCATTGAATCTTCTCCTGAAGTACTCCTCCTTCTGAGTTTCAGTAAATCCACGTACTTCTGTTATCCTGTCAACATATGAAGGAGGGATCTGAGTGGCTGCTGCAGGTCTGGAAGTTATCCAAAGGAGAGCTGAGGGAAGCAGATTCCCCTTGATGAGGTTTGTCAACAACAAGTTCACTGATGATGTCTGTGTGACATCAGACATAACTTCACTGTTTTGGAAATCCAACAAAAGTCTGCTTTCATCCAGGCCGTCAAAGATGAACAAAACTTTACAGAGAGTGAGCCTTTCTGCTGTGACCATGTGCAGTGTTGGATGAAAATCGTGAAGCAGCTTCAGAAGACTGTACTGCTCTTCTTTGATCAAGTTCAGCTCCCGGAACGAAAGCATAATCACCAGGCTGATATCTTGATTTTCCAGGCCCTCAGCCCAGTCAAGAGTAAACTTCTGCACTGAGAAGGTTTTTCCGATGCCAGCAATGCCATTTGTCATAACCACTCTAATTAACTTTGTTTGGCCTGGTAAGACCTTAAAGATGTCATGGCATTTGATTGGAGTGTCACGCACAGTCTCCATTTTGGATATTGTCTCAAGTTGCCACACTTCGTGTTGGATATTAACTCCTTCACACGGTCCTTCAGTGATGTAAAGCTCAGTGTAGATCCTATTCAGGCGAGTTTGAGGTCCGGTTTCAGCAGTTCCTTCTATTGCAAATTCACATCTTTTTCTGAGACAAATCTTATGTCTGTCTAAGACTTCTTGCAGACTGTCAGTAACTGAAAGAATGTAAGCAGAAAAATAATTTAAAAATCATGTAAATACATACACTTAACCTCCTAAAAAGAATCAGAAGTTCAGTCTTTGAGTAACCTTGAGGGTAAAGTCGATGTCACAATGTCTCCTCCAGTGCCTCAGTTGTGTTTATTCCTGCCTGTTGTCCCTCTCTATCCCTACTTTCAGCCACATTCCTACTTCCCCAGACCCTTTACTTGCCTCTACCTGTACACCAGATGCCTTCAGACTTTTCCACCTGTCCAGTCACAAGACTCTACAGGTGATCCATCAACTTCCTCTTGCCCTTTCACCTGCCTGACATCATTTTATGCAAAAAAAATGACTAGCTGCAACACAGTTTTTTTTTAGTTTGAAGACACAACACACTTTTGTTTTGTTTGTTTTAGAAACAGAATACACTTACTTGGTTCAGTGCTGTCGTGTCTGGGTGTCGGCAGACTTCTTCTGGTTCTTTTTCCACACTGAGGACATGATAAATCTCTTGATTTACATTCTTCCCAGTATGCGTCACTGCATTGCCTGCAGAAGCGGTGTCCACAGCTGGTAGACCCTAGATCCCACAGGACGCCATGGCACAAATCACAGCATGACAGCTGGTCCTTGATAACATCACTAGTCCTTTTCCTCTCTCTGTGAAGATAGTTATTTTATAGTTATTAACAAAAATATTTTGCCAGTGCTAGGTAGAATAATAAACACTTCACCATATCGATCATCATGAATAAATATAAATGCCAGTGCTCAGTAAAAGCAGCACATGGTATAACCTGAGTGGATTTAGTTCTTAATATATCCACTTACTAGTATCAGATTATCACAGCAATTAAAATACAAATAAGATGCAGCGGAGCAGTTAAAGTAATCTTTATATTCAGTTATGCCTGTGAAGGGTTTCCCTTAATCCTCTTGATCTAGTCTGACGCTGACGGGAGAAACTGAAGGCGCAATTATACACTTTGTCTTGTATGTCTCAGACATAATGGATTATTGATACAGTAATTAGTTCTGACAAAATTGGTGGTGCAGGGCACCCGGTTAGCTCAGTCGGTAGAGCTGGCGACCCATATGTTGCTGCAGCGGCCCAGGTTTGAATCTGACCTGCGGCCCTTTGCTGCGTGTCATCCCCTCCCTCTCCACCCACCTTTCCTGTCAATCTACAGCTGTCTCTATAAAAATAAAGCCAACAAAAGGCCAAAAAAATAACTTAAAAAAAAAAAAAGATTGGTGGTGCATTCATTTTTTGCTTAAAATTATATTATTCATGCCATATCTTTGACAATGATGCCTACCTCCATGATACAACAGTTCATTACAGTTCTTCTTGATTGTTTACACACATTTTCTGAAAGCATACCTCACACTCTCAGAACTCTACACACAAATCAAAAAACACACACACAATGGGCCTCAATTCTCCTGCAAAATGAAACTTTACATTCAACAATGTTATTTCTTCTCAAAATGGTATTTTGTTTTCAAATGAAACACACAAACCATCATATGAATAGACATTTATAAGAGCCAGTTGAACACTGATATGCTTAATGTAAAACACTATGATGAATGGAAACACTTCTTCTCCATTCATCATAATGACTTAGGCCTTTTTTTTGTTCAGTGTTACACTTACTACAGACAGTACATACATAAGTGTGTTGTAAAATATTTGAGAATATTGTTTTTATACTCAGAACACACAAATACACGGTAACAAATATATTTTAGTTTTCCCACAAAAACAATGTACACAGTCTACATCCCAACCAACATAAATTTGCACATACAGTGGTCTACATACAAAACAACAGAAGAATTTACTGTATACAGTTACAGTAAAAAAAAATATTTAAAAATTCTATGCTGCATCCTCTCTTCTGTTTCGGTCTGGCCATAGCACCTCATCCACATCACAAGCAATGTTTTCCCTGGACAAGCAGCGGGGGAAATATCGCCTAGCATTGCGAATCCAGTCATGAAAAGCATCAACTGCTATATCTAACCCTAACCTGTTGCCCTTTTATGCTAAAGCTCTGATTGCTAATTGTAAAACTGTGTGACAGGTGTTTGCCCATGTGATGAGACAGTGTGCATAGTAGGGCAATTAACTTTAGAATTTTGAATGACAGTGTGTTCCTTGTGAAAACAAGATATTTCCTTCATGGAAATTGTGTCAAATGCAGAGAATTGTATGTAGTGTTTTGAAAAAAGTGTGTTTTAGAACTGCAATTTGAGCAGGAATTGTGCATGTAGTTTAGCAGAATTGGTTCAGGGGGTTGGTGCATGAGTTACATGTTGTGGTCACTGTGTCTCAAGTATCAGTATTTGTGTGTAAACAATTGAGAAAAACTGTAATAATGATGTAAATTGAAGTTGTCAGCACCACTGCTGTAAATGCACAGTTTCTCTCTTCCTGTCCTTTCTAAGACACACTTCCATTGCCAATGAGTTAGCATTGGGGAATTGTGGACAGAGGCAGACAGAGTTTGAAGAGAGAGAGAATGCATGTCACTTTGATCTTTAATTTGTGTGTGTGTGTGTGTGTGTGTGTGTGTGTGTGTGTGTGTGTGTGTGTGTTTTCATGTATGTCACACTAAACAAACTTTGACTTTTTATATGTGAATACGAGTCTATACTCTATTGTAATGTGATGTGATGTGACAGTAGCCAGTTGAAAGGAATGAAGCATAAAGCACTGCTTGATTCCACAAGGTTATGAGAAAAAGAAGAACTCTTAACTTTGTGTCAAGCAGTCCAGGTTCATTACTGAAGATAAGAGGACTCTCTTTGGACTGGTCACTCTTCAGAGAGAGACAACTGGATGCAGCAAACTCTGCTCTGCCCTCGTTGTTTTTTCAATAAAAAATAACATGCAGTTTGGATTGTGTTGTTACAAATGTCCTCAATATTATGAAATGTGATGACATGAAAAGGTGTTTCTCACAAAAGGTTGGCATGACAGAAAAAGTTTTAGAGCCAGTATTAACTGTACAACTGTCTTTGGTCTAACAGGAAAGTCAGAAACACACAATGAGGACCAACTAGAACAGTGTTTTAACATACACTGAGGACTGTTTGTACAACAGCATCCATGGTAGGGTGAAGAGAAACATGCAGAACATGTTCCTCGAAGGTTTTTAGCTCCTTCCAGCAGCTCTACCGGTTAGTCAGTCCACTAAAAAATTTTCCCACCTTTTAGCGTCCACAGTTTTTGCCCAAGGAGCCTGAAAATTGGCATGAATGTATGTGTGTGCTTGCGTTCATGCCAATTGGCTAAAGGCAGCGTGGCAATGGGAGTGGCCTGTCACAAAAGGGCTTGTAACTTCAAAGCGGATTCACAGACAGCTAATTAACTGGTCGTGCCAATTGATTCATCAGTTCATTGATTCGCATTGCTGTGCCCACCCTAGCAACTACAACTTTCTATCTATGAGGCTGAGCATTTGAGAAATTATGTGTGTGTGAATGCATGAACACATGCATGTACATATGTGGTCACAGCTGTTGTGAATTGGCACTTTCAATAAAAATAACACTGAGTTTGGCTCATTTAGTTACTCAATTCAATTCAATTCAATTCAATTTTATTTGTATAGCGCCAATTCATAACAGAAGTTATCTCAGGACACTTTTCAAATGGAGCAGGTCTAGACCGAACTCTTTAACATTAACTCAATATTATTGCTTATGTCAAAAATTGGTTTGCAGGTGGGTGGGGCATGAAAGGTTTTTTTTCCAAAGGGGGACATTACAGGAAATGTTTGAGAGTAGTTGAAAGGAAACATACAGTACATGAAGAGTTGCTGGATTCATTCAAGAAGATTAAGAGAGATTATTAAGAGAATAAGAAGAACTCTTACTTTGTGTCAAGTAATCCAGGTTCATTACTGAAGGCAAGAGGACTCTCTTTGGACTGATCACTCTTCAGAGAGAGACAGCTGGATACTGCAAACTCTGCTCTGCCCTCATCGTCCTTCCCAGAAACGCTCATCTTTGGTCTAACAGGAAAGTCAGAAGCACACAAATGAGGAATGTTTGCACTACAGCATCCATGTGGAAAGAAAACATCCAACACACAAGTTCATCAGTGAACGCAAGAAGAATCTCTTTAGACTGTCCACTCTTCAGGGAAACTGGAGACTCTGCTCTGCCCTCGTCCTTCGCACAAACACTCCTCTTTGGTCTAACAGTAAAGTCTCAATAGTTTCAGTTGCACTGGGTGTGGTGACGTCATCGCTCGTTACTGTAAACTGGGAAATTCCTACAATACAAATAACAACAGTGGCAACAGCAATAACATCCTAATATTACAATCATTATTGTTATTTAGAAACATATTACATTACTGTTTTTTTTTCTTATAGTCTTAAAGAGGCGAATGTTATAAAAGAAAACCTATAAACCTATATATCCTATAAACAGCAGGGCCTCGTCCATCCTTATGTACCTTCAATCAACAGTTTTACCTACCTGTCATAGGCCAAAGACTTTTAGTCCATTCATACACGTCTGCCTCCAAACATAATGAACTTTCATCACAAGAAACGTTAGGTTTATCTCATTTCCTTACAGTCTGTGGCTCAGAGACACGAGGCTACAGTGGAAAAAGAAAGCGATGTTGCAATCGTCACAAGGAGTTTCGTCTTGTTTTCTTTTAGATGACAGATAAACTACAGTCCGCTGCCAGCTCCCGTATTGAGATCTTTATGAATCAAGCGTGTCCTGTCACCTTTATACACCCATACCCAGAAGTAGGCTCCACTAACAGGGCTTTTCTATTACCGGTTTAAAAGCGCCGAGTTGTGCCGAGACTGACCATCCGACCCGCCTCCACTTGAGTTGCGGTGACATCCCGCCGTCACTTAACTATTTGCAGTCTGACAGAAAGTTTAGTTGTGTTTTGCAGCAGGTGAAAAGGACAAATGAAGCCACTTTGTTACAATATACACAAATGTCACAGAGAGAAGTCCAGGCTATGTCGTTTTCCGAAGCCTATAGACTGGACTATTAGGCAGGTGATGAACTTCAAATGTCTGCTTGTTTATTTCTATTGTGAGAATAAAGGGCAGGTTCTAATTTTAGTGGAGGATGCGGGAATGAGGTCGATAATGTGGCAGTGCATCACAAAGTCACACCGGTTTAACCTTTAGGTTTGACCTTATAAAATGAGGCACCGAGATCTAATTATCCTTTACAACTGACTAGTGATGGAGGGATTATTTGGGTTGAGAGGGGTTGAAAGTGTCTACACTTTGAAAATGGTCAGTTGCGTCCTCATGTAATTACACCTGTTTGACCCCAGAGGGCGTCATACACTCATGTGTCCCAAGCTGCTGCATGTCCTGTTGCTGTGGACCAAGAACTGACACACTGCTCATTTCAAGATAACTGATCATTTTATGATACAATACAAATATCCATTACCAAAACCACATTTTATAAGAATGTTTTTGTCATAACATAAAATACTTTACATGAGAATACAGTAAACATTTGCTCAGTGGCTCTCTGGGAGAACTTGTTCTACTGGGGAAATTAATCTTCATTCATTATAGTATCACAAATGTCAATTTATTACTAGATATTAAAACAAAACAACTACTAACAATGCCATAGGTTAGCTATATATTTCACTTCAGAATTATATTCTTTAACAATAAAAACTACAAATATGGAGACATTCTTTCGTTTTCTGCCCAATTGATTGATAAAAACAAGGGATGAGCCTTTGTTATTCAACCAGGAAGGTTTATCTCACAGGATGTATGCAGAAACACACTGCCCTGATGCACTGTGGGCACACACATGCACACACACACACACACACACACACACACACACACACACACACACACACACACACTCTCTTCCACATCCTGTGGCACTGTGGCAGACAAGCAATATCCACCACACACACTCGCAGTGTGCGCCGGCAGGACCAAGGCCAACCGCCTGCTAGTATTTTTATAATCTTCATCCTCCCTGACCTGTTGCTCCCCTCCTGGCGCCAGTGGTCTCAGCCCTCCCCCTGTGATGCCTCAACCTTACACACACACATACACACACACTTGCAAACACACATGCTCCTGTACACTCAGCAGCCCCTCCACGGATAATTGAGACCAGCTGTTGCAAGGTGCCTCTTCCCTCGACCCTGCACCCCTCCTTCCCCCTGTTGCTGCTGCTGCACTTGCCTTTCTGGTGGAAAGCTATTCCAAAGACACCCCCCCCCCCCCCTCCCTCCCTTTCCTTTCTCCCTCCTGACTCACACCCACTCACATGCCTCTGAGTGCTCTTCCCATCAGTTGTGTTGATTGACAGATAGGTGTGTGTTTTGTTTTCATTCTCTTTATCCGTCTGTCATTAATGATACTTCACAAAAGCTTAAATTAATCCCATTTAGTCACTAGAATTTCTGCTTCTTATTTGGCATCACTAGGTGGCTTAAAATCCTAATGAACTGTAAAAGCACATTTATTCATTTTTAGTAGTATAACATTTGTTTTTTCAAGCTACAGTATCGAACATTTCTTTAATTCCAGGGTCTCATTGTGCGGATTAGAAGCCTTTTTGCATCCTATGTCATAGTTAATTGATTCCCGGTTGGACTAAACAAGAATTTAAAGACTTAACTTAGGCTTTAGGAAATTGAAACAAGCATTTCATTGATCATTTTATAGACCTAGGAAGGTCATATTTGGTAGATAGATGAAAAATTTAATAATCATTATTTGCAGACCAACATTAAATCATTTAGTGTGCTCCTGACTTTAAGCATGTCTCTCTTTCTCCATCTTCCTCTCCCTTCCCCTGGTTCCCCCTCTGGATTTAGGTATATTTGGGAGATGAGACATGACCCGGCTAGTGGTGACTGTGAGCCGCTGCGCTGGGGCTGGAATTTGTGGAGTTTGGGAGAGGAATGGAGGAGGCGACAGGGGGAGGTGGGATGGGACAGGCATGTCAGACTCTCTTTTCCAGCTGGTCCTCTGGGGTCAAACAGTGTGTGGATGTGTGCATGTCATGGCCTCTCATTAGGGGGTGAGACGCTGCGGCTCCAGACCCCCATGGTAGGATTGCTGCGGAGTCTGCAGTGATCCTGCCACTTTGATGCCCCTGACCCCCCACCCCCCCACCGGGAGGTTAATGAGCCACAGTGAGCTCTGTAGGCATGCTGTTTGTGAGTGTGTGTGTGTGTGTGTGTGTGTGTGTGTGTGTGTGTGTGTGTGTGTGTGTGTGTGTGTGTGTGTGTGTGTGTTCATATTTGAGGTGGGGGCATTGAGGAACCTTCAGACTCCTGATATGCTTTTTACTGTGGTCTCTTGTGGTGGTCAGAGCAGGCTGTGTATGTTTGAGTGTAGAGAATAATGTTAATGCTCATTGGTGGATTTGTCAATTCATTCACAGTGAATAAACAAAAAAAACATAAAACATGAATAAAAAAGGACTTTGAAGTAACTAAAATACTGAACACTGAAAATACTGTTTTGAGGGTAGAGCATAATAGCTTTTGTGACATTTAGTAGTGTTGATCATCCCCATGTATACTGTTTGTCTGGTTCCTTAACCAACATGTTGATGGAGGAGAATTGTTATAAACACAATCTTGGTGGAAATTATGATTTTAGCATAGATGGCAAAAGTACACACATTCTTTACTCAAGTATAAATACAGATACCTAAATAAGGTTGAGTCTCCCTCTCATCTGTTTCGTCTTGTTCTTTTACGTCCTTTTGAATAAGTAAGGATCAGAAAGTACTGATATTTCAGTAAAAATGTAGGGGTAAAAGTAAAAAGTTGTCTGAAAATTACTACGGTAAAGTAAAGTAAAGATACTTGAAAAACTACTTAAGTACAGTAACAAAGTATTTGTACTTTCTGTAAACCATCATCAGACCTAAGTGAGTAATCTTTTCATTTTCATTTGGTTTTGTAAATGTATTCAAAAGTGTCTGTGGTCGATAAATGAATTATGCATGCTTCAAATATTTTTTCCTCCAATCAATTTTTACATAAGGTAAAAAAGTTTTTATGTCCTTGCTAAAATAGTACCATACCATGAAAGTGCACAATAGTAACCATCAGAATTTTGAAAAATAATTTTCAAATCTCATTTTCAGAGCTTCCAAATGTGCACTGAAGCTCAAATGACCCACCTCTGTAGCAGTGTTTGTGTTTAAGTTTATCTACACATCTCTCCTTCTTGCATGCATATTCCACTGTAAAGCAAAATTAAACCCTTTGTTGACCTACAGTTGAGTTTGATTCACTGCCTTAGCCATCAGTAATTACTGACCGTAATTACTAGTCTGTTTTGACTTTTTTTTCTCCAATTCTGTTTATCTCTAACATCTGCAAATTGACCCAGCACTACTTCGCATAGCTGAACAGGCAGTGAGACATGAATGTGTTGTTTTGGGCGGGGTAGTGCAAGCCCTGACCCGCTAAAAGGAAGGCATGGCTGTGCAAAACAGGTGCTCAGACTCTCTTTTTTTCTCATTTCTTTTCATCATTCACTCCCTTTCCCCCTTTCTTCTCCCCACACCTGTTGAGGTGTGAGAACTCATGCTGGTTCAGCCGGGCAGCTTAGCCAAGCCCGAGCTATGGGTGATTAGTTAACTAGTATATACTTTATCTCCTTTGCCACCCCCCTCCTTTCCCTTGATGTAAGGTGTTACTTTGGGGTTGATTAGTTGTGTGTCTTTTAGCACTCCAGCTCAGGCCAAAAAGGGGACAGGGTAGAGTGGCAGAAGTGGGAGTTGTTTATTTAGTAAATGTAAAAAACCTGTAATTACCTCAAGGAAGGGAAAAAAATGCTACAGATGGGTAAAAAATAAAAATGTTACATTACATCTGTGCCATCTGCTCAGTGTTGAATGCCTTAGTGGCAACAGAGACCTCCATTGATTTGATTCTGGACTGACTGATGGCTTCAAGGGGTGTTGGGTGGTCCACGCCCCCTGGTGGAGCACCTTACTGGGCCCGCACTAAGCCCTCAGCCTCCTGTCTGTTGTCACCATAGCAGGGATCAAGATTTACCCAGCTGTTATGGGATCTGTCAGCATGTGTGCATGAGTGGCCAGAGAAAGTTTAGATAATAAAAGAGGAGTGTTACTGTACAAAGTTGGTGAGTCTGATTTTTTCAGATAAATTAAAGGATAACATTTTCCTTTATGCATTGAGAAAATTGTACATACTTCTTAAGCAAAATAAGTAATTCAAAATCCCATTCAATTATTAAAGTAGAGAATTAACAAAGACAAAAGCACTTGATTGAAATGTTTTAGAAATAGATACAAAGACACAAATAGATATGAAGTGTACTTTCTACAATCACACCTGTTCTTTCCTGTTGCTTTGTTCGGTTTTTGCAAAGTGAACTGTGCATGAAAACTACAAATAATGCATCACAAGTTGTGTAAAGAGGTCAGGTACAAGAGGATGAGGATGGATGGAGGAAAAGTAGAGTTTCCCCTGCATCCTCAAGACACAGTTTAAGTAAAAAATAAGGCTACAAATCTTCAGCCAAGCACACAACTACAGGTGGAGATATAAATGTGACAAGGAATCACTATAACATCACTGTATTTGTCATAATAATCACTTACTGTTTCATTTTATGCTTTTCTACATCCATTCCACCTGCCTACACCATCTCTTGAGCCTCAACAAGGCAGTGAGAAAGAAAAAGAGAATAAAGACAGAAAGAAATCAAATAGGAGGAAAGGCTGTATTTTCATGCTGAGAGTGTAAACAAACATTTGTACTGATTCCAATACACAGATGGGGATTTTACTGACATATTAGCATCACTAAAAACCATATATATCCATTCTTTAACTACGTTTTTACATGATCTGTAATTTCCCAGTAACACATGATATCGCCGTGTAATTCCATTACACATTGCTACTCCACCTCCTGAATGAATGTGCCGTAAGCACTGCTTGTTGGCAGACATTGTAATTTCATTAAAGCCACCTATTATTTGATTACAAAACCAACTTTTCCAACC